ATCAACACGTAGGCCTATCATTGTCTCTATAATCCAATGTTAATTTGCTAACGGACGGGACATCAACATTTCTCTTAACTCATCTGTTTGGACCAAAGGTCGATAGAGGGGAGTTTCCATGTATATTCTCACGCCGTTATCATGATGACAGTTACCAGGTGAACAGAAGTATATATGCATAGTGACTAGCAGCAAATTAACACCAGGTGATTCAGCAAGTAGCACATCGTTGGGGGCATGAGGAGAGTAAGATCAACAAGTCTAAATCCACTCCATTCTCCAAGTGATGGAATCAATCAACATTCAATCAGCTTGTCTATCCTGAACGTTGTACATCGAAATGCCCTTCTATGCAATAAACAGGGAGTTGTTATCACATCAGTGGTATGTTTCGTTGTGTATCCCCATACTGTTTACTGCAGTATAAGTGAAATCTGCTTCACTTTGCGAATGGCCAATCTTTTGAAGTTGATTTAAGTTCTACTTAAGTAAACTGCTACCTAACAGATTAATCCCAGATTAAAACATCTCATTCCAAAGTCGTGTTTTCTATTTCAGGTACTAAGAAATACTGAATTTTTACATATTAGATATAAATCTATCGGTACCAGTTTGACGTGTCTGGTCATGAGTCAACTAACATAGTGATTATATATTTTTGACCATTACACGTGTCATTCACACGTCACGTTTGCCATTCTAATGTTCTCTGATCCATTTCATCATACAGCATTTATGTCATTCAATGTTTTGAAGCTCATATGAAAACATGAAAAATGTTACTGTTCCAGTTCCTTTTGAAGAGTGAAATTATTTTTGTTCTTGGAGGGTTCCATCCAATATAGTCATTATGGTTACAATCGGCCTGATTTTAATTAATACCTATCAAGTTATAGATGTTATACACGCGTGCATGCACACACACACACACACACACACACACAAAAAACATCCGTAATTTGTGAATTCTGTTCGGACGATAAAGAAATATCTAATTTGATAAGAATCACTCTATAAATTATCAAAAATGTGGAACAAACTTCCGTATACTACCATTTCAGAAACATTGCGATATTGACCATGGAATAATGTTAACAATATGCAACCAACCCAATGTAATACAATTACAATTTTCACCGCCTGTGCATACAACACTGTTGACGAATCTCTCAGGTGTGTTAGAGGCGATAATCACATCGCGACATGATTAACAAACCTACAGCTCAGCAGATTTTTATAACTTACCTTTTAATAAGAAAAACAAGATTTATGGATGTCTACTTCTTTATTGTGAATAACACGAAGTTTCGGAGCATATGCTTGCTCCTTCATCAGAGTGAAAATCAGGTCACAGTAATGCATTCCACTTCTTAATGCCCATCAAAGATTTAACTTACTTCCAGAGACTTCTTTAAGAGGCATAAGGCCAAGGCAGTAGGCCTTGTTAATTGGTGACTCTTAACTGCCTTGACTCACTCATCAATCAACAAGGGATTAGGTCCTGGGGCGTGCAAAGAACAATAATTTACCATCGCCCACCAGTTATCTCCCCTTGTGGACATTTCCAAAATTGTACATTTTTGGAAATCTCATATTTCCAAAATTGGAAACATTGTTCTTGAATATGTCATGCTTTTTGCATATTTCATGCAATTCGAACAGCAACTGTTTGACTGCGTTATTCCTTTTTAACACATCCTTGCACTTTGCTATTGCTAGAAGACTCTGAAAATTTACATAGGTAAATAGGTAAATACAGTTTTAGCACACAGCAAATACTTATATGTATTTCTTTTGCAACAATGAAGTTCTGTCCGTATTCTCAAAATAGTGTCGGCCCATAGGTTTTCACATGCAATTAAAATTGCATGCAGTACAGCAATTAATACTCCCTTGTTGTAACCCGTGTTAGGTGGTATAAACCTACACATGTCACTTGTCATCATTCACTTGATGGTCAGTTAATGAATTTATAACAGGTATAATTAGTGGTAACACCACTAAGATAACCCGACAAAGGTTCCCATTTGGCATTTCTTGTGTCTGGAGTAAATACTCAACAGTATAAACATCGATCAAAGGATTAACCCATACTTTTATCTTACACAGCGGATTTGTCAAAAGGTAGTGTTTATGTATGTACATTTACTAATCAATACTAAATACACTCTGTCGTGTCTGTGTCTGCGTAAAACAACTTCCATCTTTCAAAGGATTAACCGCCAAGACATGATTCCAATACATATTTAACTACGAGTAGAAAGTAGTTTTGCTTTTCTAACTTGATGAAAACAAACCATAATCTCATTAATTCTTTAACAGACTTTAGCCCGTCATGTTACAATTATTAAAAATGGCAGCGCACTGTCGCGAACATCCGCGAGTCTGAGAATAAATGCTATTTAGGTTTGTTTTCACCGAGTTACAAAATCAAACTACTTTCTACTGGTAGTACAATATGTATTTGATTGATGTCCAATAGGATTTGCGTGACATATCTTATATCATAACAATTTCTCTCGAGGAAGCGAGGTGGGTGTCAATATAACACTACTTACAATATTATTGTCACTTCCACCACGACCTCACTTCCGAGAAAGAAATCTTTATGCTTCAAGTTGTGTCATGGAAAATATGTTTGGTCATCAATCATATATATATTGTACTACAAGTAGTAAGTAGTTTGATTCTTTAACTTCCGCGAAGCGATCTGGACAAATGTAAGATATCGTTCCAAGCTTCCACAACGCTTGTTTCGCACTCACAAACATAACTCATTTACTAAATGATTTAGCACGAACTGCGGGGTCCGGTGGAAATTAGTGCATGGTGACACCATCATCGACCCCAGGACGGCAGCGCAACGATTGACAACAACGCAACGATTCGTTTTGCTTTGAGTAAGTTTCGTTGTTCAGACCATCCTTTAATGTTGGAATAAGGGCGAAAAGTAAATATAAAACAACATGAGTGATTCTACCCTCTGTGTATTGTACTTACCATTGAATCAGAGTACCAATTCTTTATTGAATGTTCATTATACTGTGATCTGAGAAACAGCCTTCTCCCACAATACTACATAAATAATCCATGTGAGAACATTGACAAAAGAGCGAAGTTTTGAATATAAATTATAAGATTAAATTAGACATTGTACACGTTAGCATACAGCTTAATATTATATGGCGCTGGATTGTATTTTCATCTTTATAATTGTAAAACGGGTCGGTGGCCCTTGTACGAGAATAACTCTCACTGACTAGATATAAGCTTATGATGATACATATTTAAACTCAACGTGACAAATTCACTTTTCACCCACAACATTGAACACTTAAAATGTGTTCACTGCAATTTCGAGTTAGTCAAGTCGATAATCCTTTCGTTAACCCCTTAAACAATCATTACTAAAACAACACCAATTGGGATAATCAATACCAATAGACTTCCTGATCTAGCAGAGAGCCACAATTGATACTTACGTATACTTGAGGGAAATATCAATACAATATTTTAAACTTTCAATTATATTTCTGTTACATTAAAAAACAGCTTTGTAAGCATTCAGTAATATGCATCACATTACATAATTTTGTTGTATCTATTGGCAGTGTAATCAGTAATATTTTCAGCATGTTAATGTGATAGCAAAGGCCATAAGCTGGTATATGTATGCAGTAACTAAAAATAACATTAGAGTTAACTATAGATTAACTACATATTGAGTTTAGTCATTTGCTTGTCTGAGTGAGTTAGTGATTCAGTGAGCAGAGAGAGAGAAGGGAGGGAGAGAGAGGTTGATAGAGATAGAGTGAGTAAGGAGTGAGAGCGAGTGAACCAGTCAGTCATCAGCGAGTCAAGTCAGTCAGTCAGTCGGACACTCAGTCAGTCAGTCAGTCCAGACAGTCTCTCAGTCAGTCAGTCAGTCATTTCACTCAGTCAGTGTGTCAGTAGCATTTCACCTGTGTGGCTGCATCCTGTAAATAATCAAGTCTGAACCAGGAAACTGACAGCAAGATCAGTGATCCACAACCGTAAGGTGATAATGAACACAATCAGCCTTGTCACTGAGCCTGAACACCCGATCCATTAACTCTCCACAGACTCTTACCACAGTCACAGGTTACTGGGCACCTTTACTACCCTGTAATTCTCTTCAGGACAATTATATTTACATTACAAACATATTCAGTGTGTGGTAATTTAGAGTACTGGCTAAATTCCACAGTCCACAAAAATGTATTCCATACAAAATACACACACCAGCTGAGCAGTGGGCAACTGATAATTTACTATAGACTGATCTCAAGAATGCTTGCTGACTTGGACCTTTCAAGTTCCATTTAACTCCATTCCATATGTTGAATGAGACCACCTCTGGTATAGTGGATAGAATGTCTATTCAGTGACAACTGTCGACTCAATGACAGTTGGTAGTTTGTACCCTGACTGTGTCATACAAGCTGCTACTTTATAGATGATATTTGTTGTTACCCTTGTTGTTACCCTTCCTGGCCCAGCATTAAGGGAAAATAACAAGGACTGGTTGCCTGAGAATCTGGATACAGTATGTTTGTGGTTTATTCATGACAAAACTATCTCAGTTACCTAAGTTAAAAAATCTAGCATTATTCTGACTATTATATGCACATACACAAAAGATGAAAAAAACCACTAATAAAAGTAACTATGTTTTTGTACAAATACATGTTGTGATGGTTTAAAATTCAAAGTTTAAAGAAGGAATCATGATGCTTGGAGTGTTTCTTTGAACTGAAAGTGAGAATACAGTTACTTCCCTTCCCATATTGATCTTGGTCATTAACTCAATATTTTATGGGGAAAACAAACAAAATTTTGTTATCAGACTTCTAAGCCAGGTTATACAAAAGAATAAAAGATTATAAAAAAGTTTATACAAAATCATGTCGGACTTAGGGACGGTATAGAATTCAGCCCTTAGACAACCAAAGGTGCATTTATTGCATACAACACGGTATAGTGGTGTATGTTCACAGCCAACACATAAGTCCATGCAGGAGCAATACCTGTGACAGCGGTGCTTACTTGACTGCTAGATTACACACTCAGTAGTCCATGAATGCCTGTGATGACTGGCCTGTAGTCTCCTGTACAGTCCAGGAGTGGAAGAGTCAGGTGCTATAATATAGCTAGCACTGGTCCCATGTGCTTTGTGTGAGTGGACGGCTCTGTGGATGGTTACATAGACAGCATGGGGATCTCTCGCTGCGGAGGAGGAGTTGTGTCACTTGGCTGATTCTCCTGCTGATTTACATCTTCAGTGATGTTACATCAGGTAGGACAACTCACTTAATTGAAATGACATATAAATAAATGTTGATGATTGGATTTAATTTTTTCATTGTAGGGATATAATTAATGTGTATGTTCACCCCTATGTGTCTGGTGATGTTTGGATGTGGGTTTATATACATGTTGAACATATACCCTGTAATGACAACTGAAATCAGTTCATGTTGAATGAGGCAGTGGGGTAGGCAATGGTTAATGGTTACAGCGCTTATTCATGGGGTAGCTTGAAGCTCGTCCCCTGGATTTCATTAAGCCCCTGGTGTCATGGGTACAAATATGTTAAGCCCATTTTCTGGTGTCCGCTGTGATAATGCTTGAATATTGCTAAAAGCAACATAAAACCATACTCACTCACACGTGCTGAAGGATATTTTCATTGGGGTATTCCATTGGAACAGCTCATGCAGTACTTTCTAAACCATAATTGTATAAGATCACAAATGCTTTCATAACCTATGGTATTCACAAGTAGTAACAGAGGTAGAAATCAGCAGGTATCAAGTTGATAAACACATTTTAATGAAAAAATCCCCCTAAAATAACTTCTCTTAACATGACAACAATCAAAATGGGTTTCCTGTTTTTATATACAGGTGCACACATCAAATTGCATTAAGTAGAGATCATCAGCGTCAAACTAACCTGCTGGGTATACAAGAGTACACATCCATGTTTGATGGTGTCTAAAGCTGTACAAACAACAAACAGTATTTTCATGGTGATGCATTTGATATGGTCATCACATACAGCTGTGTTTAGGACCTTGATATTGTTTCAAACACCAGTTTTAATCCAATTGTGATATTTTAGTCATTATACTGTCCTTCGCTGGCAGGTTTTTAAATAAGTATACATATGTTTATTATTAGTACATAACTTTTTGTCATCACAATATGGCTGAAATATTGCCGATGTGACGTTAAATATTAACTCACTCACTCACTCAAACACCAACATTTTGATAACATTAATAGTTATTTGACGAATCCCGTTTTCTTGGGTATCCATTCTTTGCCCATGCGCAACAACTAAACCAGGAAATGGTCATGAAACCACACAGTTTTAATTTATTAGAACAGTATTTTTTTAAGTCTCATGGAGAATCAGATGGGTATGTCTCCAGTCCTATTCAGCATCTACACATGATGAGGTGTACAAAATGAATGAGAATTTAGTGTAATGAAACACAGGAACCATCTTGATGGTTCTATATCTGAATTTACAAAACAAGCACCAACTGAATGAAAATTATCCCAGTTAGAATGCTGACACAATGAAATCTATCTTCAAAATGCAAATAATTGAGTGTCAGTTTCATGAATCATTTCCTCATTTAAACAATAATTAAACATATTCACATGGATGAAACAATTGTATCTAGATGTTTTCATCACCATTGTTACCTGTCATAAAGCTCCATTGGTGTCTATGTTTATAATATATAGGTGTCTATGTTTACAATATAAAATAGTGATAATGTCACAAAGGGTAGGTTTTACATGGATTGTCAGCAGAAGCCTTTGCTGATAATATCATTTCTATTTTCAGTCCTTAAACTTGAAAGACATGTGGTCTGGCATTACACACCATGAGCATTGTACTAGGTATTCAGAAAGATTTTTGGTCTCTTGACAGAACCTGGCAATTCCATTGTCTATGATGTCATCTACACATTACAGTTGATGAATGTGCCAAGGCATTGAAAGGAGTTGCATCCCTTATGTGGGCCATAGACTTGTGTGTTTGAATCCAAGATTCACCTTGGTTCTCATATAATTTGCATCATATGTTTGAGTGATGGTTTCACCTCATTGGAGGAAATATTTTAGTATCTTACACATCTTAAAACGTTTCAGAAAATCATCACATCATGCTTTCCCTTGGCATCAAGCTGACCTAACACGATGTGACTGAAAAAACAAGTTGCATACATTGCATTAAACAAAACTCACTCACAGTATGATGTTACTTTTGAAAGACATTATGGATATGCAATTGATTTTTCAATATTTGTGAACTTTACATTCATTACTTGGAAAATATTCCTGCCAATTGTACATTTTCAGTCAGTTGTACATTTTTATACATGTATACATATACCATTGTATTATTATGAAACTTATCAATACATGTTTGCCTGTACCATGAAATATGGAACAAAAATATATACAGAAAAATGTGGAAATATATCCCTGCCCTAAAGTATTGCATGAAATCAATGGTATAAGGCAGAGGTTTCAAATGTTAAAATGTCTAGGCATATAACACTACATGTCAATTCCAGCGGTAGGTATGAAAGAAAATATGTTTACCTCCTAAATGAAAACCCAATGTATCATATGTTTAAAGATTTGTATGAACAGAGGTGGTACTTGGATTAAATGGCCCACATCCATGGTGAAATGGTCAGACTTTACTGAGAGGAAAAATGTTGGTTTCTTGATTCTCTGACCATGTCATACCAGAAGACATTCAAAGATGGAACTTGTTGTTCAGTAACCCTTCCAGGCAGAAGACATCATTACAACAATACTGAGTAGAATAATGCAAGCAGCCACACATATTTGCAGTTTGCACACCCTCATCCTATTGCCAGTTTACCTCACCTCACCCTATTGCCAGTTTACCTCACCTCATCCTATTGCCAGTTTACCTCACCTCATCCTATTGCCAGTTTACCTCACCTCATCCTATTGCCAGTTTACTCTCACCTCATCCTATTGCCAGTTTACCTCACCTCATCCTATTGCCAGTTTACCTCACCTCATCCTATTGCCAGTTTACCTCACCTCATCCTATTGCCAGTTTACCTCACCTCATCCCATTGCCAGTTTACCTCACCTCACCCTATTACCAGTTTACTTCACCTCATCCTATTGCCAGTTTCATCTCTCACCTCATATTGCCAGTTTACTCTCACCATCCCATTGCCAGTTTCACCTCACCTATTACCAGTTTACCCCACCTCATCCTATTGCCAGTTTTTCACCTCATCCCACTGCCAGTTTCACCCTATTGCCAGTTCCCACCTCACCCTATTGCCCTCACCTCACCCTATTGCCAGTTTACCTCACCTCATCCTATTGCCAGTTTACCTCACCTCATCCTATTGCCAGTTTACCTCACCTCATCCTATTGCCAGTTTACCTCACCTCATCCTATTGCCAGTTTACCTTCACCTCATCCTATTGCCAGTTTACCTCACCTCATCCTATTGATAGTTTACCTCACCTCACCCTATTGATAGTTTCTGAAGAGGAGATGGATTTGTCACTGGCAATGGGGAAGTATTGTGATTAAAGTATTCCTTCAGACCAAAGTTTGATGTCACGTATGGGTCATATATGTAAAGCCCATTTCTGGTGCTCCTCACCATTACTATTGCTAAATGTGGCTAAACACCATACTCACTTACTCCTTCATGAAAAAACCCCAGCTTAACTTAAATTGATGACACATGTGGCCCAAAACTTAATTATTCCTAAAGAAATGTGATGTACACGAGAGACCTTCCGCACTCACCATATCCCACTGGATTGGATATATTATGCAAGATTTTCCATTTCAATAACATGCATCAAAATGCCTATTTGCCACACCACCAAACTGTCCCTATCCCTTAATTTTTATGCAAGCATTGAGTCATGTTAAGTTCTGTGTAAATTTTGATTAAAACTTATATTACACAGCTCTAAACCTCCAGCATTTGGGAAATTGTAAATATTGTCTTGGCTTGACTGTTATTGACATACAATAACCAAGGTGATATATGTTTCACCATATCTTACTCAGTGTTTTAATCATACTCTTGATAGTGGTAAATTTCCATCTTGTTGGGGTATAGCATTATTTGTCCTGTTCATAAGTCTGGTTGCAGAGGTGATACTAATAATTACAGAGGAATTTCTCTCATAGATTCTACTTGTAAAGTGTTTATGTCTATTCTTAATCGTCGCCTTCAACTATGGTGTGACGTTCATGATATTATCAATGAATCACAGGCTGGTTTCAGGGCTGATTATTCAACAATTGACCAAATTTTTCCATTGCAGTCCTTAATTAAAAAATATATTAGCAAAAAAAGGGGTAGAATTTATTGTCTCTTTGTAGACTTTGCCTAGGCTTTTGATACTCTAAGACTTGATGTTCTTCTAAAGTCACTCTACGAAGCTGGTATACGAGGTAAATTTCTTATGTCGTTAACATCTATGTATAGTTCTTTATCAGCTTCAGTCAGGACATCTAAGGGTGTATCAAAAAGGTTTTTTGTGTGTGTAAAATCGGTACTCGTCAAGGCTGTGCTTTGAGCCCTCAGATTTTTACTATTTTCATAAATAAGTTATGCAGTCTTATGAAGTTGGAAGGTGGTCAAGGTATTACAGTTTCTTCTTCTATTAGCAATCTCTGCTCTCTTATGTTTGCTGATGATGTGTCAGCAATAGTTGACACCTGTGCACAGTTGCAAAAAAAGATTAATGTACCTGGTAAATTTCATGAGTAAACTGGTGAGCGTGAATTTAAAGAAAACCAAGATCATTGTGTTTAGAAATCGTGGTCCCTTGCGCTCATATGAAAATTGGTTTTATAATGGTAAGGCTATTGATACTGTGTCATTTCACAAGTACCTTGGAATTATGTTCACTCCTAAATTATCCTGGAGTAAAGGTACATCTTGCCTTGCATCACAAGCTAATACGGCAATATTCTCTGTTAACAATTTCCAAAGGAAACTTGGCAGCATTAATTGTACAGATTTATTTAAGATTTTTGATTGTATGATATCATCCATCCTATGTTATGGGTCTGAAATATGGGGCACATCCTACTGTAATACTATTGAATCTGTCCATATTAAATTTTGTAAATATGTTTTGAAACTTTGAAAATGCACCTGTAACAATATGGCCTTGGGAGAATGTGGAAGAGTGTCTTTACAGTTTACTTATAATACAACCAATGCAGTGAAATACTGGTGTAGACTTCTAAACATGCCTGACTATAGATTACAACAATGTTATAGAAAACAATGTTAACTTATGCTATTATCTTTAGACAGGGTAGGGCAAAATTCATGGGCAACTGAAATTAATAATATTCTTTTTCAATTTGGTTTTGGATTTGTTTGGATAAGCCAGGATATTGGTGATTACAAAATCTTTGTTGAATCATTTAAACAGAGATTACATGATAATTTATTCCAGTCTTGGCAATCATCTTTGGATAGGTGTGAGCCATAAATGTTTTTTACTACAAGCAATTCAAATCTTTCTTAAATGTAGAGCACTACTTGATCAATTATGATATCCCTCAATATTAAAAATTATGTAAGCCCGATTTTGGTGTTGTAATTTTAAACTAGCAGTTGAAACTGGTAGATACATTAATGTTGCATATAATGAAAGGCATTGCCTGCTTTGCAAATTAAATGGTATCTTCGCTGTTGAAGATGAATGGCATGTGTTTTATATCTGTGATGCATATCAGAAATAAGTACATATCAAAATATTTTAGTAAATGTCCATCAATTATTAATTTTATATCTATATTACAGAGGAAAAATATTATGTAAATATATATGTATATATTTGGGCCGGAGACCAATAACTGAAATATGTTATTCTGTTATGTTATGTTTCCAGATAGGGGAGAGTCTTTTCTTTCATGACCTTCCACACAAAGACAATACACAAAAGCAATGTATATTTATTTATGTATTGTCTATTGCTGCATGACCCTTGAAAAATATGTATGTCATATTTTTATGATCCTCCGCTAAAGACCTTTTTTAGGTTGACCCTGACCCCTCATTCCCTCTCTGCCTGAGGTAGCAAATACCACAAACTACCAAGGACCTACTAATGATACTGCTTTTCTATCCCTACTGAGACTATATTCTGACAATTCATTTAAACTTTCACAACTTTATTTGCTTCAGCAAACTCAACATTGTGTTTGTGAATATAGCTATTTTATCCACATTACAGAAGTAAAAATAACATCACATATAACTAGACCCACATTGCAAAGATAGTGTATATATATACCATTGATGATGTTTCTACTTTCTACCAAGGACTACCGGTACAGACATGCTCCTCAGGGACAGAGACCAGCTCCACTCCAATCCTGCTGGATGTGTCTAACACACAGATCAACACTGAGGGAGGGATGTGTTCCTGTAGACTGACTGTGACACAGACAACACAGGTGGATATGTTTGCTTTCGGCTGGACACCACAGTGTGATACATACATGACTATACCAAAGCAAAGTGGAGGACAAGTACACAGTGTACAAATGGTGTTGTTCAAACTCCACCTGCACAGACTCACACCCGTCACTACCGGTGAGGAGATATGGATCCTGGTGGTGGCTACAAAACCTGGAGCCAGAGGACTGTCAGGACAGCTGCAGTTTAAGGTGAAGCAGCCATCAGGTGAGGAGATATTGTCAAAAGTGTAAAGGCTAAAACACAAACTGATGTTGTTTGACATCAAAAGTGTCCTTATGATATTCATAATGGTACAGATGTCTATACTCCATTTACTTAAAGGTATGATAACAAACAAACATGAAGTATTGGAACACACACAATAAACAACATTTAGATTTCAACAATACACACAACACACACAGACACACACACACACACACACACACAAACACACACACACATATATATATATATATGAATCTGATCACATGCAGTTGAACTCCTATGCTTTTAACATACCATATACTGCTGTCTATAAAATTACCCCACATATAAGGCAACACAACCTGTAAAAGCTTCTGATTAATGCTAATTAATACATCCTGTCCATAAAGACAGAGTCAATACTGTTACACTAAAAGACAAGATACCCTAAATCTGATTCAAGTTGTATTAAAATTCAGCTAAAGGAATCTAATATCTTTTTCATTTCAACTTTCTGGAAATTAATTTCCCATTATGTAGAGCAATATTCCAGCACCTTGGGCTTTCAGTGCTTACTTTTCATGACTTTTGAGGTACAATTGAGCACCCTCTCTCACGCAGGTTTCAGTTAGCATCATATGACCCTTGCTTTATCAAGGTTAAATTGCAATGATGTATATTTCAAATTTGACACTTCAGTGAGTAAAATTGATGTCAAATACAATTCTCTATTTTGATGGGGTTTTTTTTCAGGTTATCAGTAGATTTGTGTTTAAATGTACTTGCGCTACATGCCATTGGTGGGTCAGGATAGGCTCATCCTTTCATGGAAAGCTGGTATCTACATTAGTTCTTAGATAATCATAAAAACCTGCTCATTAATCATAAAAACCTGCTCATGACAAGTCAGAATCATTAGAATCCACAATCTGTTCACATTGGTGCTGCAATTAACCAATCAACATCCCAAGGCTGTACTGGGTTCGATTCCCCACATGGGTACAACATGTGAAGCCCGCTTCTGGTGTCCCCCGCCATGATATGGCTGGAATATTGCTAAAAGCGGTGTAAAACCATACTCACTCACTCCAAGACTGTATGTTTCATGTAACAAAATTTCGTTCATAACCCTGGAAACAATGTAACTTAATCAGTGACCTCTTGAGGATTGTGATGATCTTGTATTGTTAGAATATTATTTCTGCACATATCAGGATGTATTACTTCTCATTTCAATGTTGTATGTCTTCATACAATTTACATTCTGAATAACCTAAATACACTTTCTCTCCCCACTGCATTAGCCCAGCTTACCATTGAGTGTTTTGAGCCAAACACCAACAGTTCTACAACAACTCCCACAACAGCATCACCTACAACAACACCAGTACCAACAACAACAACAGTTCCAACAACCACAGTAACAAGCATGATGACAGCATCAACAAGGTCAACAACAAGTACAGAAAAACATTCTGTCACAAGTCCAACAGACAGCACACCTCAAGTACAGACCACTTCTGGTGCTGCCACAGGAGACACTTCTACTAGTTCATCAGCTGAAGTTACTTCTGGGTCAGCTGCAACACCAGCAGGAACTACTCAAGCTTCTTCTCCTACTCAAGGTGCCATTACAGACAATAAGGGCTTCCCAGGTATGTATGCTTTCCAAAGTTCCACACTGGCTCTCTCACTGACTTCAGAGATTGATTAAAAAGAGGAGTGTTACTTCAAGTACTATCATGAAACAGTTCGGAAAATACTACCATCGAAGTTACAAGTTAATGTGGGTGTCTTTCGTAACTGACAGGTTAGTCTGTTAAACATATGCATTTAATAACAAATAGTGCGGAAGTGCTGAGAATCATAAATGTAAATGCTATGATTCAAGCAGACCAAAAGATGCAACCTTGTACACAATATTAGGGCGTCTGTAATAAATTCTGTGTTTCTCATCTGCCGCCGCCCATAAAAGTTCCACCCGCCCATACAATAAAAAAAACTTTTTTATTTCTAAACTATGTGCCGACCATTCTCATTTGTACACCGCCCATTGAAAAAATAATGTTTCACAACAAGTAAAAATAAAAATTGAGCTTAACATGTATTAAATTTCATTAAAAACAAACAAACAAATCTTCAGCAGGTATTCAAATGGAAGCAACTAGTTGCATCTTTACTCCCTGTCACGATTTAGGATTCAATTCCACTAATGTATACGATCCGGCAATGTTAGGAGTTCCCATTTTCACTTGCAAATATGCAGTCAACTCCACAATATCGTGTGTATGTTCACTGGTAGGGAACTTGGTTACAGTGAGAGTGGAGTCTATCTGACTTTTGCTACAGAAACTTTATGATTTGTCACTGAGTCTTTGCAATGATATGTGTTATAATACGATAAAATGATAATCATAACTATAGTTTGTGGTATTAAAGACTATATTTTTCCATATCAACACATGATATCATCTTGCAACTTGATAATTTACTTTGATAAATCTAACAATAGCATAGATATCATTTTTATCATAATTTGCAATGAAAGTCATTTTGATAATATATATGAATAAAACATCAAAATTAACAACCCACGAAGGACAAAATATTCACAACAAATAATGTCAAGTTTTCCACATGAAGTTGTGTCATATATATCAATATTTCAACATTAATTTCCCTAAAATGATATTTTAGAAATGTCTTTACCTCTGGTAACAGAGAATGTGGCAAGTGGCTTTTTAAAATAATTTTGAACCCCTGAGTGTGCATCATGTACAGTTCTCCAGTTTTTAAATTCTTAAAGCATGTCTATGTAACATTTTTAATGAGTACCTGCAAGTGATTGCAAGTCACAATATTATTACCTCTGGAAATGGAACACATACAAATAGATCGTACAAAGCCACATTCACAATACTTAACTCACATAGTTTGTACAAAAACAATTATTTTCAGAAAATGATTTTGAGGCTGATTGTAATCTACACATTGTTGTAGATTATGATGACTATCTGTTAGTCATAAATATAGTATAGTGTTGTCTCATGTAACACAATATGTGAATAAACACTACAGGCTTGAAGAATAGACTGTAGTTTTACATCCCTGTTCATGTGGTGATTCATGGCTATTTTAATCCCACAAGTGGATTCATTAGATTGGTTTTTACTGAACTATATAAATATTCAGGAATATTGAAGTATATCTATGGATAGAGAAAACTATGCGAAAAAGGAAGGTACTGGTATGACAGGTCTGCCTTACAGCAAGTTTTGTGCCAGGAGAATTTCACCAAAAGTGAACCGATTCTGCACAATTCTATATTAAGGAATCTGCGCAAATTCATATGCTTCATGATGAAACTAAGGTTCAGTTGTTAACTAAAGGACCATTCACATCATCGGGACTGGTGGAAGCTCTGCTGTACCAGTCTCTCAGATTATTGGAATTGCAAGGGGCACACTTTATTGTCTTTACGGTGATTCCCAATGCATTTGGGGAGTATACATTCATATTTGAATATTCAATTTTTTGTTTCGTTTATTTTTTTTTCGCTCGCTCACCCACCCCAATCTGGGAACAGTCAGGTGATGAGAAACACAGAATTAAATACGGACGCCCTTAATCAGATGAACATTTTTCAGGAAAATCTGATATTACCATTAGATATTTCTTAAAGCAAATGTGCACTCACTTCAGCACTGGACTGGCCAAACAAAGACTTCTGTTTCAAGGTTAAACTAAAACATATATAAAACAGTCCAAACTTGCAATAATAGTTTCATATATTGAATATTTGCATCACATTACAAATTAGATAGCAAAATGAATACTCTACCTATCTCTAACTCACTGTCACAAGATAGTCAGCAGAATATACAATGTAAAATGTTTAAACAAGATACTTGTTTATAATGTTGTTGATTGAAAGAAAACTGTAATGAAAGAATCACAGAAAATGAATGTCATTGTCAACACTTTATATACCAGTAGTTTGAAATGATCACGTCAATAACTTATTTGTTAGAATTGTTTCTTTTGTCCTGTGAAAGAAGAGGTGTAAATAACTTTGAAGCATGGCTGTTTTCTTCACAGTGGCTGCAGTAGCAGGTGGTATTGGAGGAGGTCTGATTCTCATCCTCATCATCATCATAGCTGTCACTTGCTACAGGTCAGATGAATCATATTGTTTACTGCAGTATACACTTTATGACTCCCTTCTTCACAGACATGAAGGTGACTAGTTATCCGTATTTCAGATATGAACATCTGTATATATTCTGCAAAAGTCATATTGACTTGTTGGAATTCAGTATAATCTGATAAGGTCCCCCTCCCATCCCCCATACTATGCTACTTTTTTTCTCTAAGTTGATAATTCATCCTTGCATGAAAATATGAATCTCTCCGAAAGTATACATATATACAAAATGTATCATTCATGAAATAAATTCAAAATCATCTAAATATTTGATGTGTCCAGATAGTTATGTACCAGCAAACACATGCTTTATCTATTTTTCATTTTCTTTGACCTTCATATGTGAAAATTGTCTGTTTTGACAGGAGAAAACAGGATAATGATCCAAGGATTCTGGAAGACATCCCAAGTACAAACAAACAACACAGTGGCTATGTGAACCATTCCTATGAAAATGAGGAACCTGTAACCCAAGGAAATGTTCTCTACCATTCTTGCGGAGCATATGACAAGCAGCCTGAAGAACAGGCACTTGGTAAGGAAGAAGACAACATCCAGAAACAAGAATCATCCCCTGTCTCAGGAGCTCCCCCAGGTGAAGGTGGTGATGGGATGAAACATCCAGGTGCTGATGCTGATCCAGGACCTGCCCTAGTGTCCAGTGATGTCTCTGACATGTATGCAGCTGTGGATGAAGTTCAGGCTGGAAATCCTGTGCTAGTTGACAATGACATGTATGCTACTGCTGATGGAATTGCCCAAGAACAACCATCAGGGTTAAATAGCACTCTTGGCCTGTATGCAGTTGTGAATTATCCTGATGAACCAGCTGCAGCAACAGAAGAACCCAAATCACAGGATGGTATTGTTAGTCCATCAGGAGATATCTATGCTGTTGTGGACAAGTCGAAGCCTGGAGAACAACCTACAGAAACAGATGAACCTGGTTCACAGGAAGGCATTGTCAGTCCATCTGGGGACATCTATGCTGTTGTAAATAAGTCAAAGTCGGTTGATGATTCTGCAACTGATGATGTGTATGCTGTTGTAGACAAATCCAGAAAACATGGATCCATGGATCAAGATGGTTCTGGTCAGGAAGGCGATTTATCAACTGATGACCAGGAAGCAGCTCTCAGCATGATGAACTCTGCATTAGAGGAAGGGCTGGATGATACTGCACCACCAGCATCTCCAACAATCCAGTCTACTGACCTCTAGGGACTGACATGTGCTCCTAATATACTCTGATATGTGCTTTTGTGCTCAAACATGAAGTAGCTGTTTCCAGGATTAGTTCAGGCAACTTTTGAGTACACTTTATGAAATCAGTCAAGTTGGTTGTGCTTGAAATGAAGACATTTTATTTTGGTTTAAAAGGGATACTATTAGCAATGTCAAAATATACATGAAGCTTTGTTGATCTGAAAATGTGTAATACTGTGACTTAGAGAAGGGGTCAGTCGGCCCTGTTGTATGCCATGATGCAACTTACTGTTAAGAGTTGTGTCCCCTTGCTGCCTGTATTTTCTGGTTGTGGGTCCAAAATTGTTAACTTCTCCATTCATAGGCTTTTATCTGTTTGCAGTATATTTATTACATGTTTCACCAAAGTAGTATACATTGTATGTCCACATCATTGTGAACTTCACATAAACTGATACACACCACTGTGACAGTGTTTCCATCTCACTCATGCACATTGCCCAACATTTATATCTGAATGGTCACCTCTGCTTGTTATCTTACAAATTAGACAAATCATTGTAGAGGCACAAGAAATACTTGGTTTAAAAAGGTAGACACATATCTACTTGATCAGGTACAAAATATCTAGGCATATTTTCTGATCTTGTTTAAAAAGTTCACCTTGGCAATCTGTTATAAATATTAAATACAGTCAAAAGCCATTGTGTTGAAGTTGAAGGGGCCTCCATAAATACTTCAAGCTATCCAGTGTCGACATAACCACAATATGATGACTAAATTAGGATATACACTGGCCAAGCTGTTAGATCGACAGTTGACAAGTGATAAATGACACTGTCCCAGTTCCATGGCGTGACCACAGGTCTGATAAATGAAAACTCAGTAAGAGCTGTAAACATAACAGGAAGAAAAAAACATTGACAGACAGGAGATCATGTTACACCAAACAATGAAAAATATATATATACCACAGCTTACAAGAAAGAAAACACCAGGGAAAAATAAATGTATTTTTTTCACAATGTGCAGAATATTCATCAATAAATTCAGATCATAACCAACAATAGGCAAAAGGGACTGTCATGAGAAGAATAACTGCCATTTACATAAAATAATTTAAAAACACAAAATGAACTTGCAGTTTTAAGTAATAGGCAAGAAGAATAAAGCAAAATTTCCAATAAAAGAGATGCATTTAAACTGATGAATAATATCCCTTTATGCTTGCCATGTGATAATGTTGTGATATCCTATACCAGATGTGGGAAAGATCCGGGTGATACACATGAGATATATAGGTTCAGCTCCTGCCACAAGGTAATTACCCTGGATATGCTTGACAGGAGACAATAGTTAATGGTGTGAACACCAGGAACATTATAGATGCAGCCTGTGACATTCAGATGATGATCTATGTTTCTACAACAGGAACTAGGACATATGAATTGATCATGGTTGGAACAGTGTATGGGTCGACTAACACTTTGTTTCTGAAAATATATCATTTTGACAGACACAAATTACTCTGTTTAAATTTAAATGGAGGGCATGGTTTAAAGGGCTGGGAAGTATCTAGACCTGCTTCATTTAGGACTTTTGGGCAAGAAAATGATATGGTTCACAGACTGTAAGACAGACTTTTGTACAAGGTACAGTATGTCGTCACAGGGTCTGGAGACATATAATGGAGGTTCAAAATTGGCTTGTTTATATTATGAACTATGTCCTTGAACTGAACCTGAAATTCACCTCTACATTAATATATTTCCTTTGTATAATGCACGTTTGAGTATATACACACCATGAATAAGGGAACAAAATATTGTCACAGGGGTTGGACACATATTTATGGAGTTTATAAATTGGCTGGGTAAGGTATGCAGGGCTCCAGATAATTATTTTGACTCATGGGTATTTCACTCCTCAAAATTAAAATTGAGGAGTAAAATACCTAATGGAATTAAAAGGAGGCATATTTCACTCCACGAGTTTCTTTTGGTTAGTCATTTTTACTGCAGACGACAGGAAATAAAGGAGAGTGCAAGTAGAGCTATTGCACATTAAATATTTTCCTACGCTGGTTGAGGGCCAGCACATAATCTACAGTAGCCAAAAAGCTGTATTACTACTGATATGGACCGGGAACTCTGTTATTTCAGTTGAAGGGCTAACTTTTCAAAAAATATAACTTTTGAATAAACATTGTTCCATTCGTCACAGTGATCTTATGTCAGGGGATATGATTTCTGATCATCTTAGTAATCTGGTGTTAAAGTATGGGATTTCTGAACCCCTTTGTGAAATGTTGAAGCATGGGATTTGTGATGATCTTAGTGAGCACATCCCTTTGTGATGAACGTGATCCACACATAATCAATGTAAATGAGAAATTTATGATAAAGTGAAAATTAGGCAAAATTTTCCTTGTTTCTAAACTGAAATCTGTTGATTCAAGATTCATAGAGCTGGCCATGGTACATATGCATGACATATCTTCAATGAATCAAGTAGTCATGCTCGATGACATTCATTTAGTATCATCATGCCTAGCTTTGTGAGTCAGGTCATTAGAGGACTTGATTTTATATTTGTGCTGATTAGGGCTGCAACGATTCACCAAGACCTCGATTCGATTCAATTCAATATCGAACCCTTGATTCGATAATTTTCGATTTGATTCTTCATACAAGTAAAAACTTCAAATTTCATTTAACTCTCAGAATTGGCTTTTTTAGCGTGAAATCCATCATCACCTTGGCGATGTCTACTAACAACAATTCTCATTGGATAATTAGCTGGTGTCTGTGTACAAGCACAAGCACATTTCGCTTATTTCAGCACTCTAAACTGCTCGAGTTGGAGTCAAAATTACGTTCTGGCTGTGTGGAAATAATTATAATAGTTATTCAAAATATATCTAATCGAAATACATGTAGTGATAATGCTTATCGAAAATTGAAACTAAGGTGTCAGATTTGATTTTAGATGAATTGAACCAAATCATGCAGCTCTAATGCTGATCCCAAGCTACGTTACAAACCGGTATATCTAAAATGAAATAACTTGTCATGCTTGATGATATTCATTTAGTATCTTCATGGCTGGCTTTGTGGGTTGGGATTCAAATCAGGAGAGCACTTGATTTCAGATTTATGCTAGTCCAGTCAGCTAACATGCTTGCTATATCTTAAACATAGTGGGACAGAGCTCGCACACAGTCATCTATAGGTGATGACATGTTTACCTTGTAAAATAAATCAAAGCAATTATTCAACAGCGTAGACATAGCTTTTGTCTTACTGAAAGGTGTGTCTAAGAGTTGAGTCCTTAAGCTAGGATTTGTCTAGAAAAATCTTTTGAACTATGTAGCCATAACTTATATCTTTTTGAATAGTATGTCTGTGAGATGAGTTTTTATCACTTTTGACTGAAGTCTTTCTCTAAGTGATTACAGATCATGGTGAAACTAATATTATATATTTATATTTTCCTAATATTTGAATCCTAATATATATCGCTTGTAGTGGTAATAATTAATAATGAGTTTTTGTATGAATTATTACTCCATGATAGAGCACCATCATACCCAACATAGTGGGACAACCTCACACACAGTCATCTGTTTGTACATTCTAGATTTGATTATTTTCAAGCTACTGTAATATTACTTAACTACTCAGCTGATTGTGTCTTTAAACAATCAATCAAACAAACAAAATTTTGCAAATAATATTTATGCATTGTTTCCCTACATTTCATGATCTTAAGGAGTAGTAGAACAAACGTGTGCATAAATCGTGACATGATGGGTTCAGAGAGACATCAGTGTTTCTGGATGTATCCTATTTGTGTACTTGACCTCCTGTGTCATCTGATGTCCAGTGCTTATCAACACAAACTATAATAACGATGCAAAATAGCATTATGTTTCATCAAACTTTTATTCCACTGAACTATTTTTCTGAAAAAAAATGTATTGGACCAAACAATGTATTATGGATCTTGGTAACATATGGTCATAAATTCATCATCAAATGATTTACCAGAAATGAAATGCAATAACCAGTTGTAAGGTTAGAGTGCCATATATGGTTTGTGTCTGTTAGATTTAGCTCAATAGGGTTCTCTAGCAGTTTAGTTGGTGTACTGTTAAGGCAAGATAGTCTTTTAAACTTGAAGAAACAATATAACATACATGTAATTTCTGTTCACAAGTTATGATCAATGTCTCATATTCCCAAATAATGATATATATTTTCTACAACTGACATACAATATGATTGTCATACAACAATGCCTTAATCAACAGAAATTAATGTACATCCCAAGATAATTACATCTGTATCAAAATGTGTTATGCTCAGTTTTTCAATCTAAGTATAGTCAGATTATTCAGCAGCAGCGATACATTGCAAGACCAAACAACGTATATATATTTCATAGTCTTGCCAGTCTTACGGTCTCTTGCCAAAGGATAACTTTAAACTTTCGCTTTTTGGATCTGGGATGGATTCCCCACATGGATACAACGTGTGTCCCCACATGGATACAACGTGTGTCCCCACATGGGTACAACGTGTGAAGCTAATTTCTGGTGTCCCTTACTTACTCACTTCACATTACTGCTGTGCAGTCAGTTGATTGTGGGGTTGAGTAACACAGCATGACATCACACTATTGCAATAAACCTAAATCAATCCAACCCTCATCTTGAATAAACTGACAGAGAAACGGAATATTAAACACTTTTTGTCATTACTGAATTTGTGGTTAAATCAGAAATGATATCAGTTGTTAGTGAATGGCAATTGTGTAAGCAAATGTTTCACAAGTTTTTAGTTTCAAATATTTTTCCTCACTTACCAGGCTAGTGGTGTTGAAGTGGTATAATGTAAGCACTGCTATTTGAATGAAGCACTGAAAGTTGCATGTTATCATACCTATGACAATAATATGTTGTGTCGTAACATTCCGTTTGTATTTCAAACTGTAACTGTAAATATTGAGAAACAGGGACGGAATATTCAAAAGAATGGACAGGAAAGTTTATGATGATTGAACATGACTTTCTTTGTTATTGGGTAAGATGAGCAGCCTTGCCTTGAGGAGTTACCTCCCTTCCTGAGGAATTCTGAAATTCATCGATATTTATGATGTTCAGTCAACCCATTGACATTAGTGTAATGTTTTGATTGTGTGGGTATCATTTTTATCTCTGCTTTCTCTGATTCTCTTGAAGTGTAAAACAAACATATTGAATAATTGCATGTTGTACAGTTAGGAATATTCTTGATTGTGTAAATAAGATTGTATCAATGTAAACATTATCACTTTTATCATAATGGATCTCTGAGGTGCACTGTTTGGATTTGATACAATGGACTATTTTTTTATAATCTTTATGTACATAAAATACTCAATATTTGATAATGATCAGCTTTGATGTCTCAAAACAGAAACCAAAAGTGCTTGCATAGTTTACATCCTGAATAATCTTCACTCTACTTGATAATCAGGTTTTGATAATAAAGTGTAATTGAACAAGAACTTGTTGTGTTGTTCCTAAATTGTCAACTATATATTGTTTCACAACTGCAAGAATGAATACTTGGACATATTGTAGTTTCCACCATAATACAAATTACAACAAAATGCTTAACCATTCAGGTATTGTGAATCACACCTTCAATTTATAACGTCTTAGTTTAAGTGCTGTGAACACTTATCATTTTGCATAATTTGTTTGCATCAAAAACCGCATTTCTGTAAACGAACACGAATTTGAACTTTTTTTACGCAGTTAATGCCAGGAAAAACCCAACAACATCCAGCTTGTTATTAGACTTGACATTTTACCATCGCTTACCCTGCTTGATTAAATACAGTGACTTACTTTGTAAAACAGTTTCATGGAATCTTTTAGCTGAAAACTAAGCAAAAATGTCATCATTATGTCATAGTCTTAATTCAAGTTGTCAAAAAGGATTTCATTAATATATGAAATGTTATCATCATGGTATGATTGAAATACATGCTGATTTGACAAATTTTAACACACTCACTCACTCAAAAGTACTTGACATATATTACATAACATTAAAGTTTAGGGTTACAAATACTCATGCAGATAACATGAACTTCACAAATAATAAACCTATAGCATTATTTAAGGGCCTGGAAAGCTCTCAGTAATCACTTTTGTGACAATCAAGATTAAAATCAGTTTCTAACAGCTCTGTATCAGAAACAGTATTGATGCTACTTCTATACATCTATTTAAATTCGTTAAGGTTCAGTTTATCAATATATTATATATAGTGTAGAGAGATTAATCACTGTGGTCGTTCAGGCATGAACTGATCTGTATCAGCAATGTACCATAATATACTCAACCAAAAAAGTTTAGCACACTGCACTAAATTGTCCTTACAGATATAATCAATGTTCTCATTAGTCTGAACCTGATACCTGTAAACTTGTGACACCTGTGGAATTGCTGTGTGACGAGAGAATTGAAAGTCACGTGCATTTGTCTGTGATTTTCGTGGAATTCACGTGAAACACATTTTTCATGTCTCAAAAACAATGAAAATCATCCCGTGGCCGATGCATTATTGCATACCCACTGAGACATTCTCCTGAAAGGATAAAACATTTTTAAAGTTTGAAAATCAACCATGGGACGCAGAGGAGGCATGCCTGAAAATAAGAGACATGAAGCGATTGGGAGACTGAATGCTGGTCAAACAATTACAGACGTAGCGCATCATTTCAACGTGCACAGGAGCAAAATTTCACATCTCCAGACACGTGTACAGCAGACCAGTCATGTCAGAGATCGGCCACGCTCTGGCAGACCCCGTAAGACCACACCCCGGGCAGACCTATTTTTGGTGGCGTCATCCACCACAGGTTTACAAGTGCACACAAAGTTGGCTAGACAGTTGCAACAGGCCACCGGCAAGCCTCTACATCCCCAATCGGTAAGGAACCGTTTGCACACAGCCTGACTGTTTGCCCGACGTCCAGTGGTTGGAGTTCCATTGAGTCAACGTCACAGACAGGAACGTTTGCAATGGGCACGTGCTCATCGGCGCTGGCGTCGTCAACAATGGAACTAGACATTATTCACTGATGAATCACGTTTCTGTGTGGAATTTGCAGATGGACGACGCAGAGTATGGCGTCGAGTGGGTGAACGTTTTGACGCCAATAACGTCATCGAACGTGACCACTAAGGAGGAGGCAGCATCATGGTATGGGCTGGGATCCATGCAGGAGGAAAGACAGACTTGATTCTTGTCCCAGGAAACCTGAATGCACAACATTATTGCGACGAGATCATCAGACAAACTGTCATCCCATTCATGCAACAAAATCCTGGCTTTACGTTTCAACATGACAACGCTAGACCCCACACAGCCATTCGAACAAGAGATCTTCTTCGGCAACACAACATTCAACCTCTACTTTGGCCAGCAAGATCCCCAGACCTCTCTCCCATAGAGCATGTGTGGGACATTCTCGCAGGAGGGTCAGAGAACATCACCCCCTTATTGATAATTGTTGTGACCTTGAAAATGCCCTCATTCGTGAATGGGGTAACATTAACGTTGGTGAGTTGAGTGCAGTTGTTAACAGCATGAGACGGCGATGTACAGCTGTAATTCAGGCCATTGGAGGCCACACGCGATATTGACGTTTTTGGAGCAATACCCCACTCTTGATTTTGGGGTCATAGTGGCGTTATGGAGAACAATGAACACAAGTCTGAGTGATTTTAAAATGGAAAAATGAAATTTAACACCAACATGATTTGGATATACAATATATTTTTGGTACCACATGGTTTTTGTCATTTTTTATACCAACATGCTAAACTTTTTTGGTTGAGTATAGAATAGGGTTCAAATATCTGCCTTAGCTGACACACTGCTGGATATACCTGCCCGAAGTATATTCTATGGATGAAGTATCTACATCTATAAAACTGTGTTGTTATTTGGAGGTGCAGTCAGTGTGAGGCTATTTGTGACCATTTAAACAGGATACATGGTGACATTTGGTGCCACCGGGGAGCAGAGTATGGTCACCATTTCACGTACTACTGTTTTCAAGAGACTCATAAACACTTCCACATTCAATGTGAAGCTTGTGTGTGGGTGCCATGATGTGCCATTCATTATTTTCCAGATAAAAGGATGCTGCAATACACTTTTCCTCATCTGTGTTGTTACTACATGATAGCAGTATGATACACAGATAATTTCATAACACACTACTTCCATTGTGGGATTCAATTTAACAAGTGTCAAGTTTTTTATTATGATGAGTATATTTAAAATGCCAGTGTTATGAAGAACAAGAGTCATCAGAAGATGACATAAGCCCCCGGCCCCCACATCTTTGGAAGAACAAATCATCTGACAGTTACTTAAAGTCCAGCTTGATTTTAGACTAAGTGCAAATCGTTTCCATGGAAATCATGAAAAAAATAAATGACAAAAATCTGCAAATAGCAAAAGGCACCACTTCAAGATCTGCCTAACATATCTGCCAAGTTTTTACTGAAAGATGTTAAGAAGGTTTTGGGCTGTGCTCCGGAAACGAAACCTACCCCTCCCTACCAAGTCCAAAACGTTTCCATGGAAACCGAGAAAAATAAAAAGGACAAAAATCTGTAAATAGTAAAAGGCACCACCTTAGGTTCTGTTTGATATAGCTACCACTTTTTGTTGAAAAATATCGAACGGTCTTGGAGTTAAGCTCCGGAAACAAAATGATTATGGACGGACAGACAGACGGACAGATGGACGGATGAGGCGACAACTATATCCCCGCGGCATGTAATGCCGGGGGGATAAAAATCCATTCCAGGCTAATTGGTTCCTATGGTCACTAGAGGACTGGTTTAGCATAGTGACTAATGTATTCGCTTTTCATGCCTCATTTTTTTCACCACATGGGTACAATGCGTGAAACCAGCTATGATATTACTGGAATATAGCTGAAAATAACACAAAACATAGTTAAAATGGTTGCTCACTGTCACTATCTCACAGAACAGTGACCATCTGGAAATACAGACACACTACTTTGTTTAAAGGATAACAGGCTTCATGATTGCATTGCACAAATAACAAGAGTTGGGATATCCACCACATGACCGATATCATAGTAAACAGTGGTATTAGTCCTTGGCCAGTGGTGCTAGAAAAGTCCCGATCCTTTAGGATCTCTCAGCAGCAGTAAAAGTGCTATCCAGCAATTAGTGTGACACCTCCCACCCTCCAAACATTCTTCTTGATTTTGAACTAGCCACAGAATATATCAGGTTACTAAAAACAAACAAGGTTTACCCCACTGTTGAAGGTGAGGTGAGTTGAAATTGGGTTTAATGTCCTGCTTGAGAATATTTTGCTCATGACGACGTGCATGCGTGTGAAAGTGTATGTGCGGCTGCTTGTACTAGCCCAGACTTAAGCTGGTTTTATAGTGCTAGCCCACTGAGATACCATACCGCAGTGAAGCATGAATACCCCACTCAGACACATTATACGGACTCCGACCTGACCAGTCCTTGTACCCATTAATGTCGAGCGCCAGGCAGGAACCAACAAATACCATATTTTAATGTCTTTTGGTATGACGTGGTCGGGGATCGAACCCGCGACCTTCCGCTCTCCGAGCGGACTCTCTAACCACTACACCATGGGGGCGGTGGAGTAGCCTAGTGGTTAAAGTGTCCGCTCGTCACTCCAAAGACCCGGGTTCAATTTCCCACATGGGTACAATGTGTGAAACCCATTTTCCGGTGTCCCCTGCCGTGATATTGCTGGAATACTGCTAAAATCGGCGTTAAAACTAAACTCACTCACTCACTCACTCACTACACCACGGAGGCGGTCCCTACTGTTGAAACAGTGTCCACATGTTCATAGACAAACTGCATGAGTACTAACCACATGATATAAAGGACTGTGACAAGCATTGATGTTCAACATGGTCAAGATATGCAGTATGGGGAATAAGGCCGGGTGTATCATATTACCTGATTTGATACTATCTCTGCATTTGGCCTAGGAGTAGTATGGGTTGTCTAGACAGAGTGACAACTTTCATTTCACAGATTATGACAAGTTTTGTTTGTCCTTTAACACTACACTCTGCATATGAATAAAACTGTATGTAAAAAATTGTGTCTGAAACACAATCCAGGTGTTGATTTTATTTGGTACATGTGATGAGAGGAGTCGGGATGAAACAAGTCCTGACCCTGACCATCCAATCCACTGAATCACCCTTGTGGAAACAGAAGGATGCTGAGAACCTGCTCTAATCCAGAATCCTTATGAGGACACAGAAAGCCTATTCTTCACATTCCTGATGGATAAATAGTTGATATCATTCTGCAATTCAGTGCTATTTGTGGCACTGCATGAAACACAAAATGGTAATCTGAAATAACATTTGTCATAATCGTAATAAGAATACCTGTAATTGATCATATTATAATACATATCCCGTGAACATTCATAAGCAATCAATCTCCAAGACATGCATATCACATTAATCATGTTAGTGCCATCTCCGCAGACACTGATCGGTTTAATGCATTTGACATGTGGATATAAGCCTGCAGCTTCCTAACAAAGACATTTCGTTTTACAAAAACTTTCACTATACAGTAATGTACGCCATTAAGCAGAACACAGTTTCTCAGTTTAGCTGATGGACATTCTTGATCTGGAATTAACACTGGTATTGATATATTGATTTTGACACCAATCACCTACATGAATCAGATTAACAGTTGATTACAGGATCAGCAAACAGTGCTACAGTGAAAAACAGTCATACATAATACACTGTGTTGTGTGTGAATAGCCGTATTCCTTGGGTAATTGATCAAACCGTTTTGTATCCTGATGAGTGAGTCATTAGGGCTTTAAGTTGCTTTCAAGGGTATTTCATTTATGTTGTTGCATGTCAACTTAATGTCCCTGTAAAGATCAAAGTGATGAAGGCTGCAGATGTTTGTGTGATTGATGTAACCCGTGGATGTGGTTAATAATGGGAATTTGCTCCAAGTTTCAAATTCGATAAAAAGTGTGAAACTGAGTCATTGATTGTTGATATTAAGTGTAATTATTAACTAACAGATCAATCAGTACGATAAATGATAACAGACAAACACAGGGGTGTTATAACAAATTGATGCCAGAAGTGCCAAGCTGCCTGAACTTGAATTGAATTGTTGGAATTATAAGATTCACCGGGTTGCTGAATCAGAGTTGATATTGTTAAATATAACTTTGTAAGCAAATATTACACTGAACGATTAGTCACAAGTTATCATAACTCAGACTGAGTTTCAAGAACAGAACCTCTTCCATCAGCTACTCAGTGGGTCATGGGTTTGAATCCAAGACTTTTCAAATAATGATCCTTTGTCTTGCTGAATCACTTTGACCTCATGTCTTTCACCAAAGTGATAAAAGCCCATAATTCCTGTAGCTTTCTTCCCAAAGTGGGTGGGTAGCCTAGTGGTTAAAATGTTCGCTCATCACACCAAAAACCTGGGTTCGATTTACGACATGTGTACAATATGTGGTGTCCCTAACCATGCTGTTGCTGGAATATTCCCTTACCGCTTGGAGGTATCATTTGGAGTGCCTTTCGAGGTCTTATTTTTAGTCCCCTGGTAAAGCGCCATTAAGGTCTCAATGGAAGCGCCCTGCTCTCAGCATGGGGTCTCATTTGAAGCGCCCTTTTTCAAAGTGGGGTCTCAATGAAAGCGCCCTTTCCCAATAGAAACTTGCATTGTTCCAAATATGTAAATTACGCTCCATAAGAAGCACCCCTGTGGAGTACCCACTGTGGTTCTACCTGGAGCGCCATATAAGGTGCCCTCTCAGTGCTAGCACATGTAGTCCCATTTAAAGCGCCCTTTGGGCACTGCATATGTAGTACCACTCAGGGCGCCCCAGACCTTTTTGTGCTACACCATGTAGCGCCGTTCTGAGCGCCCATTGATATCTTGTCCATATCATGTAGCGCCCTTCCAGGCACCCCTTGAATTAGATTTGAAGTCCCATCTTAAGCACCCATTTGAGTACCCTTAAAGGTGCCTATTAATGTACCATAGGAGGTGCCCATTGGAGTACCATGAAAGGCACCCTATGGAGTACCCATGATCAACCATAAAACTGCAACTGCATGAGAAGTGAAAACCCATTAACCATATGAGCAAATTTAAAATGGATTACACCATGTACATTATCAAAGGACAACAAATTTTATAAAAAGAAAAAATATATATTTCTTTTTTTCACAGCTATATAAATCAATAAATCCACAATCCAGGTTTATAGAGTAGCTTCGACTTTGTTGAGCTGCTTCTTTTTGCGGCATCTGAAGGCCGAGAGCTTGTTCCTGAGAACTTTTGTTACTCTCGACCTCAGAGAGTCAGATACACTCATCGTGAATTCTACAAAAAAAAAGAAAGAAGAAATCAATCACTGACATTATGATCTAAATACACAAACCAATGATATTCATTTTCAATTTAACAAAATTAAAGGTAACTAGATGAGATGTTTCCGAGGTTTCACATTGTCCCCAATGCATTCTTCCTTAAAATCCTTCAATCGTCATGCAAGTCAAAACAAAAAAATTAAGGAAGTATAAACAATAAACCACACAAATTTTAACATGAAAATGAAGTTGGAAATTAGTTTTTAAATCTACTTAAATTATTCAAGTTTTAACAAATAAAAATGCTGAAGGAAACACACCAATTATCCCGTTCACAAGGTAAGGGTTGAGGCAGGGATATTGCCCATCTGATGTCAGGGACTTGTTTGACATATCTTCCTTAGAAAAAAATATGCCCAACAAGTACCTGGCACAGCTGGAGCCATCCCGCCTCCCTTCTTGACCCAACGAGATTTTGTTGGAGGCCCTCCTCAACTGGTCCTCATATAAATATATATGAGAGTGGGGAAGCAGTTCTTTCATCTGTAAACAAAAATGACAAGGAATACTTGGGATGGCATGGAAACAAACAATTCAAGGATATTGTGGACAAATGTTATTTCATTCACTGGTGCCAAATGCTTCATGACAACATTCACTTCTGAGAACCTGAGCTACATCTCACAAAATTATCAAAAGGACATTTAAATAAAAAAAATCTATTAATCCCTTTCTTTTTTCCACGTCAAGCGGACAACAGAACTATCACACAAAAACAACTCTGGTGTACTTACACTACTGCATCCCTTTGGGTAGTAACCCGCTTTGGCCTTTCAAAGCAAGATGAAGGAGGGTTTACTTGTCGAGGGAGGCATGCTCCTGGCTGATTGCAGAGATTCTTAAATTGAAATTATTTTAGTTTAGGTTTCATTGTTGATTTTAAGTCACACAAACCTCTCCAATCATGTGAAATGAAATAACCTTCATAAAACATTTACAAAAATAAAATATATATTTGAATTCACGATTCATTCATTATACATATCAAACAATATATGAATTTTCTACCAACCCAATTGTTCCTCCAGTTTCTTTATGTGCCTGTTCTTTTTGGCCAATTCATCCTCGAGGAGACGACACTTGGTACATGGATTGTCGTCCTCCTCATCTGTCCTCCTTTTTCTTGGCTGTTTCACAGCCATTGTGGGATGTCCCTTGCTGTTTCTGGGAACATCTGTTTTAAGCAAGACAATTTTACCAAAATTAATGAAACATGAACACAAACGGCATGTAGTTCATGTGACATAACTGTTTACAGCACAAATATATGGAATGAGTGCACTCTGTTCAACCTCCAACATCTCCAGTGTAATGGTACATTTAAGATGAAGGATCAATCAGCATATACAGCTACAACTCTTACATGTTTATGTACGTCAGGGTAAACAGTTAAGACTCAAAATTGTTTTCGACTTTTTCTTTCAGTTTTACCTGTAACACTAACAAATAAACATCTAATTCCTGGTTCTTATTTACCCTCTAAATTTGTTTCTTCTTCTTCGGCCTCCGTCTCACTGGCTGAAGCGTATTGAGACTCGAGGAGACTGTCCATCTCCTCCAGGACCCTCTGTTTTGACTTTTTCAAGGCCTCGGCCTTCTCGGCCTTCTCCTGGCGGGCTTTCAGGAGGGCATCCTTCTTCAGTGTATCACGCACACTTTCTTGAACTGAAAAATATTTATTCATTTGTATTCACAATGATGTCAGTAAAAACCTTTTTTTTAATGTAGATAACAATAATACTATGCCATATATCCTTTTTATTTCATAAAGCATATACTTCAAAAGAAATCGTTTAAGAATGACGTAAACAAATGTTTACAAAGGTAAACAATAAGTTCAATCTGTTTGGGCGTATTCATTGGTAACAAAACAAGTATCATTTGTGATCTATACTGAATTTTTTCTCATAAAATGCTTATGAATTAGAGATATTTAAATCTACATATATTTCACAATGTCTACATGATTTGTTTTACTACTGTATTTCATTCATATATTATTTCTATCTACCCAAATTTAAATCATGAAAACGTTGAATTTTTCATACCTGAGTTTGAAGGTATTGTGACACTAACAGTTTTTCTTTTCTTTGGTCTTGGAGTTTCTGTTGACAAAAACAAATTCATAATAATTTTTCAAATAATCTTTTTCAATTCAATTCAAAAGTCAACAGTTATCATATCAACTCAATTTGCATATCAACTCAATTTGATCCTTGCAATGAGCATTCAGAAAGAGTTCCGCCCGTACCCCCCTCTTTTTACCTGTTATATTTGCTCCAGGAGGAGTCCTTCCCCGGTGTATTATTCCAACACTGAAATGAGTTCATTGATTGTTTTTTATAACTGTTCTAGTTTATTGAATGAATATTTAGTGTGGGGTATGCATGTTAGTTTGTAATTTTGGTTTTTCATGGGGGTTGGGGGTACGGGCGGAACTCTTTCCAGAGTGTTTAATCCCAAAGAACCAAAATACACATTTCTGCTTACCTGTCACAGTGTTCAAATCCACTTCCTTCTGAGCCTTGTATTTTTCCACAAAGCTGTTCCCTTCCACATGGAGTGCCTTTTTGTCATCTGAAATAGACAAATGAAAAATACAATCTATGAATAAAAATACAATCTATGAATATTCACTTGCTTATCTACTTATTTCCCTTCCTAATCTCATTTTAATTTGTATATGAGAGCTTGAGCAGTGTGCTGACGTAAGTTTTGATTTACTTTAAGTGAACCTCTTCCTTTTCACGTTTCAGTAGTATTATCGTGTTGCATAACAATAATAATTCATTTATATAGCGCCTAGTATCCATCTGACTTGTTGCTCACTGGACACACACTGCACAGGACCACAATACCACAAATATCCTTTAATAAAAATGAAAGCGAATCGAAATCTACAAGATCATTTAGTATTAATGCAAAGTGTAATGGCATTGGCATAATTGTCACTGGCATAATTGTCACGACTGCAAGAATATTGGATAAATCTATAGGAATAATATATATACGCCCACCTGAGATATGGATGACATCCGCGGGGAACAGTTTTCCTGCAAACTTAGCCTGCACCCGATCACCAGGCTTGTACTCCCAAGCTTCTTTTCTTGGCACACAAATTGTGTTCGTCGATTGGACACTAAATGCCGAATCCTCCACCCAGAACAACGCAACAAACTTGTAGGAAGACATGTCGTAGTACTAGTAGTAAGATATCGCGGATTTCTATGATAGTAACGGTAGATCCAGTCAAATGTAAGCGCCAAAGTTGTAACCGGAAGTTGGAAGGAATGGTGGTTGTATTTATGAAGTATTTTAACAGTTATCTAACAACTAGCCATTTTCAAAGGGCAAAGTTGGAACCAAGTACAACAAAATACTCAAAACTAAAAAGTGTTACGAAGATGCGGATAATTCTAAACTCTTATTACCAAAGTTTCTATAAGATCTTCACATCGCTTTGCTTTGGTACCATAGAATATTATATTAGGAGCGGTGCCTACGACAAAGCAAGGAATTTTGCCTACTTCCGGTAGCAGTGACGGGTTTGGAACGCATTTTTTTATCAACACAAGGCCACGTGGCAAACAATTTGGTAAATAACAATTTGCATTGGCCCTTTTGTCGTGAATTTAGCACAATTGAGGTGATAAACTGGCAGAAATGACTGAGAGGGCAGAAATGACCAAAAGTAAAAAAAGAAAACGAGGCCCGTATAAGAAACATGAATTTGACGAAACTCTGACTCCAAGAACAACTTTATGGAGAAAAATGAGAGAAAGTGCCGATGAAGCAAGCAAGCAGTCTTCCGTGCAGTCGAACGCCAGTGATGAAACAAATCCCATTCACGGAAGACAACCCGATTGCAACGAAGAGTATGGACACAGCGATAATGGTTTGTAAAATTACGAATTTGTCTCTCTTGTTCCCTATGTATTTTGAAGTAACTTGGTATAGACATAATGATTGCTGGGCACTAAAAGTTGAAGGTTATTGTTTACTTATGCTTTTGGACAGGTGTGGATGAACCAGCGTGTTGTCAGCAGTTTCTAATTGAATGTAAACAGATGTATTGACACTGACGTTCCAAACTGGGTTTCAGATCTTCGTAAGATTCCAAACTTGAGAATATATATATTCAATTAGAAACAGACAAATTACAATATATTTTTCTGAAGAATATTATTTTAGTTTAGTCTTGAATGTGCTTATCTCATTGTTAATAATTCACATTAAAAAATGTTTTGCCAAATATATTTTTTTTTAGCTCAGAAGAAATGAAACAAATATTTTGCATCATGTTGATGCTATCCATTATATGTAATATTGCATTAAACACAACATCTGTATATTGAGAATGTTATGGCGCCTCGTTATCGTATTGTAGCGTTAACTCACATGTATGATGGGCCCCTTTATCGAAATATACACACTCTCATAATGGTTAATTCCAAATGATAATCGAGGGACTTCAAAGAACAAACCATCAATTTTAAAATTGTTTTTACTTGCTTACTTTTTACTACCTTACACCTAAAGTATAATTAATTGTATAATAGTTACAATAAGTTTAATGTAGTAAGTTAAGTTTAGTCAGAAAGTCTTTTATGCATTAAAATTGTGCTTACAAATTTCATGTTAATTTATTTAATGCTTAGATGAAGCAAAGGACCCAAAGAGCCCTGTATCTGAAGATGATATGCAGGTAGACGATTATGAAAATGAAGATGCAATGAAAGCAGAGGGAAAGTTTGCTGATGACGAAGAAAGCTCATCAGAGATTGAAGAATGTGATGAAGAGATGAAGAACCATGATATTGATGATACAGAGGACAGTAAGTGCAAAACTAAATGCACCTTTTTACAGATACATTTTAAAAATTTTAGATTCACATTGAAAGATTCACATGAAAATAAACATGTCAGTATAAGTTGGTTGGTCATGGAATGTTGGAATAAGATTTTTGAATAGTCATAATCATTTAAGTTATGTTTTTGTTCACATTTTCAGATTTCCAGAACTTTGCAGAGAAATCACCCCCATTGTACAGTGGAGCTAGAATTACGGAACTAGTCAGTGTGGTTTTGATAATGAGCTTCATAATAAGACATCAGCTGACTGGGGAAGCATTGAAAGATTTATTGGTCTTAATTGAACTTCATTGCATAACTCCAAATTTGTGCAGAACTAGTTTGAAAATGTTCAACAACTTCTTCAAAAGTATGTCATCACCTGTGCAGATGCACTACTTCTGTAGTTTTTGTAACACTTACCATGGGAAAGCAAGTCAGCCAACCTGCCAGAAATGCCAGAAAAATCAACAGTCATCCTTCATATACATTCCAGTCATAGGTCAATTACAGTCACTATTTTCAGGTAAGAGTCGAGATAGGTAGTAACCTAATTTATTCAAGGTTTTGACAGACTTGAAATTAGGGTGCTGCCTTGGAAAGACCCTAATTTCTTATTGAAAAATATGTAAAATGTCTTGAAAAACCTTGAAAATAAATAATCCCTATATTTCAAATAAAACTTCAATAATATTGTATTGCTTTATTAAAATTGATAAGATTGCAATTGCTTTATTTTCCTACATTCATTTCTTAAATTCTTAGGTATATTAGATGCATCAATTCCCTAAGCAAAGTTTTATCAGTAGTTGATATAATAGTCAGTGAACAAACCTGTATGACCATTTTACTATTGGGAAATGTTTGACAACTGTTGTGTGATAGAAACTTGTACTTATTCAACTTAAAAGACTTTAAAAGGCCTTAATTTCTAAGTGACATAGTCTGTATCAGCACAGTTTATTATCAGTTTATTTATTACACATAGATTACTATTTGTGTTGGTCTTTTGTCGTTCTAGTCTTCAAGATATTTTTTAGTGTTACAATTTTTGATTATATAATTCCAGTTACAATATCTAACCTGGCATGTGTCAAGTTCAACAGATAATCTTTCTTACAATAGGTTTAAAGAAGTCAGACTTACTTCATGGAGGAAGGGTTAAGGATAATCCATCAGCAATTGAAGATATCTTTGATGGGAAAACGTACAAAGACATCTTTGAGGATGACTTCTTCAAGGGAACACATAAAGGAAGAAAAGAGAAAGAAATTCACATTTCTCTACAACTCAACACAGATGGAGTAGCTCTTTTCAGATCTTCAAATTACAGTGTTTGGCCCCTGTATTTAACAGTAAATGAACTGAACCCAAAGTTAAGGTAAGCTTTCTCAATTTCATTGTTACTTTTAAGTTTCAACAGATGGAACTGGTGAACCTATGTATTAACATGAGGTCTGTGCATCCGTCTGTCCGGACTCTGGACAGGTTCATTACTCCCTTACTTCTAGTCAGATTCTAATAAAAGTTGGAAGGAAGATGAAGGATCATATGATGATGTTGAGGATGACTGATCTTGTGTAATAACTCTAGGAAATACAAGTTGTGGGGGATATTGTTCATTGTGTTAAGTGGTTAGTTTTAAGAATTGGTTATTCTAAAAGGAATTTGTCATAATGTTATCATAGATAGACTGAGTTCAGTTTGATTCATTTACCTGCTTATATACTCATATACATCCTCATGCAAACTTGCTGAGTAAAACATTGTAATATTGAAGAAGACCTGTCTCAGATAAATATTTGACAATGTTTTCAGGTACTCCGCTGAATGCAGACTGTTTGCTGGACTCTGGTATGGCATCAACAAACCTACAATGTCAATCTTTCTGCAGCCTCTTGTTGAAGAACTGAAGTCCTTGTATGAAACAGGTTTGTTTGTTGTGATGACTGGCGTTTAGATTGCTTGATGAATTCAATTTCTCATGCTGGACAGAATTTCATGAACAATAGCAGGTAATTATGTTTGAAATATCAAGCATTTATTACGGATTTTAACAGCAGTATTTACAGTTCTTTCTTTTTTTCACTTAGGTACTGATGTTGTCCTGGAGGGCAGTTCACTTCTTTTGCGAGCAGTTCTTCATAGTGTTGTGTGTGATGCTCCTGCAAGATGCCTAGTTCAAAACTTTGTACAGTTTAATGGATATTTTGGATGTGGAACCTGTTTGTCCAAAGGAAAATCTGTGAAAACTGGAGAACGTGGATCTATGATGTCCTATCCATTTGACATATCAGAAGCTGGTAATCTCACTGGTGTCTCTACGCCTCGCACGCATACCCAGTGTCTGACTGACGCAAGGAGAGCAGAAGAAGACGGATCAAGTCGAAATGGTGTCAAAGGCTTCTCCCCTTTGTACAAGTTGCCCTTTTTTGATATGATAAGATGTGTTACTGTGGATTATATGCATTGTGTTCTTCTTGGCGTGCAGAAGAAATTCTTACATCTGTGGACTGACAATGCAAACAAACATGAAAAATTTTACATTGGAAACTTCACGTCAATACTTAATGACAGGTTACGAAGACTCTCTCCGCCAAATCTTATTACAAGAATGCCGAGGTGCATTGAAGATTTGAAGAATTGGAAGGCCTCAGAGTTCAGGTCCTCTCTTTTATTTTATTCTGTTTGTTGCTTGTATCAGATTTTACCCGATGAATATTTCTCACATTATCTCCTTTTGGTTGAAAGTATATTTATTCTTTTACAGAGGTCAATTTCGCAAAATGAGCTTTCAAGAGCTAAGGTGCTTATTGCCAAGTTTTGTGCATCAGTTGATTTCTTATATTCAGAAAGGAACATGACATCCAATATGCATGCACTCCTCCACCTAACTCAGAAAGTTGAAGATCTTGGACCCTTATGGTGTCACTCTTGCTTTTTCTATGAAGATTTAAATGGGGACTTGCGATCGCTGTTTCATGGTACACAGAAAGTAGAACTTCAAATTTCAATGGCTGTAGTAATACATCAGAAGCTACCACGTTTATGTGCCCTTATTCCAAAATTCTCTGAAGCTGAATATATCTATCTCTCCTTTAAGGGAAAACATCACAGAAAGAACCTCACTTTGATTAAGGATAACATGTTTGCTGTCGACCCAATTAAGCCTTGTAACTTGTCTGTCGAAATACAAAATTTGGTTGAGGAATTTATGAATGCACCAGTAACAAGGTCAGCACAGTTTTACCGCTACTGGTGCAATGGTTTTATGTTTCATTCAAAAATGTACAAAAATGTAACAAGGAGAAACAGCTACTCAGTTGAGTATATTGGAACTGATCAGAAACGTTACCTTGGTCAGATTCAATATTACCTTGTTTTATTTACTGAGAAGAGTGCTATGTATTGTGCTTTAATCAAAAGGTTTATCAAGAAACGTAAGTGTCATTTGCGTGTACCAGCTCATTTTGTTGAAGTTGAAACTGGAACCTTGTTTGATCTCATACCTGTTGAGAATATTAAGAATATGTGTGTGTATATGGATCAGGGTAGTGTGAAATTTGTAGCACTAATGCCAAATGTAAGAGAAAAAGATTAGATTTTGTTTTCATCCTGTGATAGAAGTTATGATGCATTTTTGTACATACATGTACATGTATTTATGAAACAAAAGGAGTTTGTTCATTGTAATATTGTAAGACATGTGTATGCATTCTGTTACACTCTGTATTGCCTTCTGTTCTATGTACTTTTGTGTAAATATGTACTTGAATCCTTTCAAATTACTTTATGTAAACATTATTGCTCACACGCCTTCAAGATTTCACAGATTTATTTTGGAAGTAATGCAGTCAATCTGTAGTGCCCTTTATAGGTTCCAAATTAGGCGCCCACCCCAGTTGGAAGCCTCATTTTCAGTACCCTTTGGGGCCCTAACCACAGTGTAGTGGGGGAGCCTTGAGCGTAGTAAGGGTAACCCGTCGCCCGACAGAATGGATGCTCCACACACAGAAGATATTCAATCAAATAATCATGGAAATAGGATCTCCTCTGATAGACCTATTCACCCACTCGATTCAACAAGCAACTGACAACATTCGTATCGCCAGTTCCAGACCCACTAGCATGGGCAAAGGACGCTTCTAAGCATATCGCGGGAGGGACTCAACGCGTCACGCTTTCCGCCTTCCAGCGTTAATCCCACAAATCTTACAGAAAATCAGTCAGACGTAGAGCCTCCATCTGATTTTGGTCGCGCCCTACTGGCCAGAGAGAAATTGGTTTCCAGATCTCATACAAGAAATCGGGAAACCAATTCTTCAGCTCCCACAACGCGCCAATCTATTGATACATCCGCACACCAAACAAGTGCACGAAACACCAGAAGCATTCCAACTTCACGTATGGATTGTATCAAGGCATGTCTGAATAAGAGAGGTTATTCTGCCAGAGCGGCTGAAGCGGTCACGCTTGCACATCGTAACTCAACTCTAACTTATACGATGACAAATGGCACAGTTTTGTCAATTACGCTGCTAAGAAAGGATTTACAGCCAGATATGCTACACATCCTCAAGTGGCAGATTTCTTATGTTATCTACGTCAACCTTGTCCACTTATCTTGCAGCTATAAGTTCTGTCATAACTATGAGAACGAGGCGTCAAGTTGACAAAAACACCAGAGTTACTCGCTTTGTTACGAGCGTTCCGATTGGAGGATCAGAAACGGAAGTTTCACGCTCCAGCCTGGGATCTAAATATAGTGCTCCAACACCTCACTAGTGAGGCTTATGAACCATTGCTATCTACTTCGTTTGAATCACTGACCCACAAAACCTTGTTCCTGTTAGCACTAGCTACGGCCGCCAGGATGTCAGAGATTCACGCACTGGATTACGAGAGAACACGCTTTGATGATATTCATAACATCGCTCATCTGGGACTTCTGCTGGGATTTTATAGCGAAAAACCAACTGCCAGGTCAACCAGACAGATTATTCCACGTCCCAGCTCTCTCATCCATACTTGGACCGCATGATACGATGGATCTATCACTATGCCCAGTTCGAGCACTGAAAATATATCTCCAACGATCCAAACAGAGCAGAAGGATATTCAAGAGATTATTTATCCCTATATCTATAGCTACGCAGACGGAAGTCTCACGTACTACTATCTCTATCTGGATCAGAACTGTCATACTACGTGCCTACAAGGCTGCAGGACTCGACCCTCCAAGAGCTTCTAATCCTCACGAAATTAGAGCGCTAGCCTCAACTCTCACTCTACATGGGAATTGCACTTTGAATACCATAATGGAGGGATGTTTCTGGAGATCCGATATGGTGTTTGCCAACCACTATCTGAGAGATATCACCACCAAGGACGTCTCAGGTATCCACCATTTCGGTCCCATGGTCCTATTTTGCTTAAGTTTAAAGGTCACATGCAGCGTAAAACACAACTTTGCAGATTCTGATACCTTTCGGTATGGACATACCGAAACAAATCGTCAAAATGCAAATTCAACTTATAAAGTTGAAAATAGCGATAGAAAAAACGCGAAATCGAGTTCAAACGTTTCACTAATTTTCCCCAGACTTTTCTGGGAAAACGGGTTTCAACAGCTGGGCTGCGCTCATAGCACGTCGCGCAAAGTAAATAGGTTCAAGCGCAGCTTGGAAGGCGGGTTGTCGGGTGAATACTCGGTGAAGGCTTTGGTGTGAGCTATTTTTCTAATGTTTTGTTGATATCTCACAGGCGCGAGAGCTTTTTATATGTTATGACAGTAAATTAACTGTTTATATAATTTCATTTGTCTATTTCACCACACGTTCTTCTTACCGAGACACTTTCTCAGTTCGATGCTTAAAAGCAATGTCATTATTTAGCGTTGACACAGAATTTCTAACTGTGATATAGATATGTCGTTGTCACAGACAAAACTCAATGTCTTGTTTTATTGGCACCTGTGTGTCTGCCTGCCTGTCTACTAATGACAATATTCAATACACAACTGCAATCACTGACCACATGCAATTTGAACTTAACACCAATCAGGCTATACACCATAAACAAAACGCATTGATTTATGGCCCGAGTTAGGTCTCTGTCACATTATGTAATTACACAGACAGGCAGGTGTGATACTTGACACATGACATGTTATGATGTCTGTTGATTGCAAAATGTTATGCACAAAAAATGAGCATGTATTTACAAAACCCAACATCTCTATATACACACACAATATGAGGCCTGAAGGCGGCATCTGCTAATGAACCAGCCGTTACACTTGAGTGCACACCCACCAGCTCTGACTGGGTTCGGTATCCCGGCTGCCGTTTCGAGGGAGTAAACCCAAGTACAAAATATTGCACTTTTGATTTGCGATTATGCGGCTTATAATTTTGTTTATTTGTTTTTCATAATCAGCTATGCATATTATATGTCATGAAGAAGTGATAATTGTGTTTTAATTATGTTTGATTTTTGGGTTGCATGTGACCTTTAATTTATTATCTTAAGTTCAGTACTATGGTTTTATATCATACTATAATAAACTTACAACTCCTAGGAGTTTTGCTATTATATATATGTTCAGCTTAAGTTTCATCAATCCTTAAGCTCAGTCATATGGTCATATGGTCATATTCATAAATGTATTAACTAACAAACTCTAAAGAGTTGGTTACTATTATACAGCTTAAGTTATAATTATATCTTAAGCACAGTACTATTATAACTTAAATATATGCATATCTTAAGCTTAATACTTTGGTTCATTATAAAAGTATTCACTATAAACTCACAGAAGTTTATACTATCACATTAATAGCTTCAGCTTACATTAATGTTGTATATACTTTATTATATTCAGTAAATTGTAATAACCTTTATATGGCAGCTGATAAGTTAACAACAGGAATTCATCAGTTCAGTGCCTTTATGAAGTTCCCATAGAGGTTATTACAATCATCACAGTTCAAATCACTAATTATTAAAATCCAAAGTATATATAATCCCACCTCTTTTTCCGTCAGTTCTACAAGCAATAAGCATGAGTCAGGATAAGGAAAAATATGAAATTTTTAGAGTAAAATTGATATTTTATACTTATCCTGACTCATGAGGTAAGCCCTCCTGTCCTCCCCACTTAACACTTTGTATTTCTTGGGAAAAAAAAAGTGTCGGGCTCGAAACAAAAAAGGAGAGAGTGAGGCACATGGGTTCAGGTGGCGCCCTCATTCCCGCGCTTGTGGAAGGGAGGTAACTCGTGGTGAGTACTAATTAGTGATTTTTTATTGAAGGAAACTTCAATTGGGAGATACACGTGTTCCACTATGTTCGCAAGAAGAAGAGGACAAGCAATAAGCATGAGTCAGGATAAGTATAAAATATTAATTTTACTCTAAAAATTTTATTTTTCATCTGCAAAAGACTACTTTTCTTTGGTCAGGTTTACCAGTCATCAAACCTGACTTCATGCGAGGACCCAAAGGAAAGAAGCGGGTAAAGAAAGTTGTTGAGGACTCTGACAGTGATGAGGAATGGATACCAGCATCACGGAGGAAAAGTACCCGAAGTAGGAAAGTAGTTCAGAGAAAAAGAAATATCAGGGTTCAAAATTAATATCAGTATGCTACTTAGAGACTAGTGAAATTTAGAAATGCTTCAGGACTAGTAACATAAATTCAGTATTTCAAAATAACTAATGGCTTAATGCTTAAAGTTCCCTTGGAATTTTCTGAAAGTGTCTTAGATCAGACTAGTAAGGGAATTTTTGTCCCATCTAAATAATTAAAATTGTCTCAAAGTTTAAAAAAAAGAGAGATGGTATATTTTAGCGATGATTCAAATAAAGTAATACTTGCAAGTCGAAGCTTGTGAGAATACAGGAACCAGTTTTACATTCGCATTCACTCGTCAAGTCACTCCAACTCAGATGTGTATTTCCAACAATGATACCAATATGATATTGGTCCGAGGATTACAAAATATAAAGTACATTCTGAGTGCTGATGCATCACTAAGATGAGTTTGTGTGATAAGTTTGTTTTGTTACAGTCTTATTCCGGTTGAGACTTTCATTCTATAAGTACATCTTAATCAGAACCCATTGATGAATAAAAGTTAGTTTGATAGCAATTTCAGATGGATAATTTCATTACCTGAATTTATCTTGTTCAGAAACCCATAATGTTTTGAATCACGAAGTGATAAGTTTGTTCTATAGTAATTTCAGATGTATAATTTCATTCTCTAAATACATCTTGTTCAGAAACCCAATGATTAATGTTTTTAATCATAAGTCACATATTTTGTTTTAGTGATCTTACCCATGAATTGATAAGTTTGTCTTTTGGTAGTTCAATTGAAGACTATACAGTGAATTTGTTGAGTTTTTTTAAATAAAAAATTGACCACACTTTTGAGTACCTTATAGTAGAACTATAACGATGCACCGAACTATCAATGAATTGCAATTGTTGAGTTACCTTCTGTCACGCATGCATGCACGCACACACAAACACACACAAATAATTTTCTTGTTTTGCACTGAATTGGCATAAAGTGCTCTTACTGACAAAACCTGCAAAAAAAATAACATGAATAATGATTTGAAGGAAAAATCTTTCAATGCTTCACCACAAGGCATTGTCACAACATGGCATGGTATCCTTGAAGCCATTCTTAAGTCTGGGATTCAAGTTACTTGTCAGTTATCAAAAGAGACTGAAACTACTTCAACTTATGTTTATTTCATATAAACTATACATTCATTTGGGATGTAAATGAGACAATTCAAGGTGAGAAACACTATTGCAATAGTTGTTGCAATAGACTATCGCATCACATTAGTATGTTGCAATAGACTATAGTAGACTGTCCATATCACAATAGTTGTCAGTAGCAAGGTAGAACCTGATACAGAGATAATATATGTTGTTTTATTCACTACACAGCTAGTTCTTCATTATCAAATGAATTAAGAAAGACACCATTTCCCACATAAACAATCTGTGCAATAGTAAATTTACAACTGTTTTAAAAGTTCAAAGGAATATATTAGTATAGATAGTTAAAGCTAAATCTATGAATAGACCGGTGATGGACCACCCATCAGTAGTTACCAACACTGCTGATAATGGGATATACGAGCAATAAGGAATTTTTGTTTAATTGTTTGTAACTCTATAAGTCCAGTAGAATCCTGTCAATACCAGAGATAATATATGTTGTTTGATACCTGCCTGTCTGTGTAATTCACTACACAGTCTAGTCAGATATCTTCTGATTATCAAATGAATTAAAGAAAGACACCATGTTTCGCTTGACTGGCTGTTACCTGAGATATCACTACAACAAATCATGATATACCAGTAGCTACTAACTAGTTGGAGTGCAATTCATTTGGGTGATTTTCACTCAAACTGTAATGATTATGATGATTAGTATAACCTGTTGTTGCAGAGGGCTGTTAAACCAACAGCCACAGAGACTGTTAGCTCCCCCTATCCCCTTCGACAGAGACCTGAGTTGAACTACATGAGGATGGAAGGCCCCGATGATGATCATTTTCTTTGTGAGTTTCATCAGGAACAGTGTATTATAGGATATTTATATATTATTATTATAGGATATTTATATAGCGCACATATCCATGCACTAGTGCATGCTCAAGGCGCTGGTATTTTCCCCCTCGATCATTGGATGTCAATATCAACTGCACATCGTATTGTCAATCTCAACTCCCTGGGGAGTATACAACTCTTGCAGCCACTAGGCGCACTGAGTTATTGTGGCTTTCTCATCCTAACGAGGTACCAATTCACAGCTGGGTAGACTGGGACAGATAGTCACAGCACTTTGTCCAACTTCACTGCACGTTGCTGTACCCGCAACTAGGTGTTTGCACGTATTCATGTGGCCACCATCTGGTCATATACCAACGGATTCGTGGGTTCTTTTAAGTGCACAGGGTTGTGTACTGTACACTAGGGGTTGTGACAACACTGAAAGAGTCTGCACACAAAGTTGACTCCTAGGTTTTTTACACCCGGTCACAGGTGGGCTCGATCCCTGCACCTCAACCTCGCTGGATCAGTAGCCTGGCGCCTTAGCCAGCTCACCCACCGCACCCCCCCAACAGTGACGGTATTTTAGCATTGCATACAAAGAAATATTTGAAACTGGGTATTAATTCCTTCATTGTGAGTGAGTGAGTATGGTTTTACGCCGCTGTTTATGTTAGCAATTTTCCAGCAATATCACAGCATGGGGACACCAGAAATAGGCTTCACACATTGTACCCACGTGGGGATTCGAACCCGGGTCTTCGGGGTGACGAGCGAACGCTTTAACCACTAGACTACCACACTGCCCCAATACCTTCATTGTAACTGATGTAAGTGATATTTGTGCTGGGATTGGGATAGAGAACTTTGACAATGGGCCATTTTCAAGATTATTAGCCATTTCCTAAATTTAGAATGGGCCACTGCCCTTGTATCAATAGTAAACTTTTAATGGGCCATTTTTTATTCTAATGTGCAAAATGGCCGATGGCGCCTGCCTTTCCCAATCCCTGTATGTGTATTTTTATACATGAATATTTTGTGAATAATAATAATAATGGAAATCTTAGCAATGTATTCTTTGCATTAAATGCATGCTACTCAAAAGTTGAAGACCACACAGTGTGCTCAAATTACCAACACCACTGAAGATGTTTATGGGATATGATTCTGAATGGTTCTTGTAGTAGTAGTAGTAGTAGTGTCGGTGAGTATGGTTTTTTGCCGCTTTTAGCAGTATTCCAGCAATATCACGACAGGGGCACCAGAAATGGGCTTCAGTAGTAGTAGTAGTAGTAGTAGTAGTAGCAGTAGTAGTAGTAGTAGTTCCCACTGGCACTATAATTATCTTGGCAGTAATGCAAGAGGATGTCAACCTTATGTTGTGTGTAAAGAAAACACGGTTTTTGACAGACACTAACAAATCTGTAAATGTAACACATGTTATGTTTGGGATTACACTTGATGAGTAAAGAACAGATTCTAGTCCTTATGTTGGCTTGAGTATCTTCTGGGATTCAAACCCACACCCTCAGAGTCAGGCACCCAGTCGCCAGCACACAAAGTCAGTCTTCTAACATGATCAGGCTCTGTGGCTTCCACATAAAGTGGAAGTCTGACAATTGGCTGACATTGTGAGTGAATGAGTGAGTTTAGTTTTACGCCGCACACAGCAATATTCCAGCTATATGGCGGCGGTCTGTAAATAATCGATGCCAATGTCATCATTAAATGTCATTCTGTACCTAAACGTATCTGTTTCAGCAGACAATCGTGACTATGTTTTCTCAACGTTCAGTTGACGTTTTGTAAAGGTTAAGGGCGTCCGGTCTGTGCATTTGTAATTGTTTGATTGGCATTCTAGAGGTCTGTGAGTCAATAATGAAGCATAGGACTTTATGGATAACAACTTCATGTTAATTGCATAGAGCGACATTTCGATGAAGACTCTTAACCTCTATGAAGCTATTTCGCTTGATAGCAACTTCTTGTCTATTGCATAGAGCGACGTTTCAGTGTTGATTCTTTCACCGTTATCAATCTAAATAGCTATTTCGGTTTGATAACGTTTTAAGAATCTACACTGAAACGTCTCTCCATGCAATAAACAAGAAGTTGGTATTCATAAGGTTGTATGCACCACCCTACATTTCTGGAAAAGGTTACATTTGCCCGATTCGTATGCAGAATCCTTTTGCTGTGATTTTATGGCAAATATTTGTGATGTTTAATATCGTCCGAATCTTTTTCTCATGAATCTGTAACAAAAGGTTCCACAGATTTGGTTGGTTGGTTTGTTGTTTAACACCGCATTCAGCAATACCCCAGGTATATGGCGGCGGTCTGTAAATAATCAAGTCTGGACCAGACAATCCAGCGATCAACAGCATGATCATCAATGTGTGCAATTGGGAACCGATGACATGTGTCAACCAAGCCAGCGAGCCTGACCACCCGATCCTGTTAGTCGCCTCTTACAACGAGCTTGGGTGGCTGAAGGTACATTCTAATCCGGACGACCTTCACAGGTGCTGACATTGTGTGCTGGCAATTAGTTGAAGATGGCTGTCAGTCACTGGCTTAGACTTTAGCCATTACTGCATTGCCTGAATCTAGCATAATCTATTTTCATCTAGTAAACTTTGCCATTAATACTAATACTCAGATGATTTCAGAGAGATTCAAGCAATAATGGCAAGTCTTTGGCACAAAGTGTCAGGTTCTAAAATGTGTTTTATTGTATTTATGCCCTGTTTGTGTTTAATCTGTTTCAGTGAGTTCATTCAAGTTTCCTTTCAATAGTGTTTACATAAATATTTTGTACCTGTACAGATGTTATTAGATGTATGCAGGCTGTGATTTACACACTATTTCTTTACCATTTGCACCTAGTGCTGGCTGTAGTTACCAAATGACTGCAACTACTCAGCTTACAGAAATATTGAAACAAAAAGACATGGAAAGATGACCAGATGGATCTTCATTTTACTCATGACCAGACCCACTCTTCATTCCAGACCATGCGTACAAAAAGTTGTTGTGGTGTCCTGCCGTGATATTTGCTGGGAATATTCTTAATGTAAAACCCTCAATATCCTGAAATTTGTATGTTGCTTATGATTACTGTATTATGAAATCTTAGTTATTTTGATCGTGGGATTAATTTTGGCTCTTTTAGCGGAAAATGATTGTGCGTCAATAATCATACCAAGCGAAATATTCATGGTCAAGTCATGACAAATACTCAAGTAGGAACAACATGCAATTTGTTTATTCTCTTAGATAACAACATCAAAACAATATACAAAGGAATAGAGGCATATACTAGTATACTAGTAATAGCGATCACAATCAGCAAATGTTTGTTATCAGTTTGTCAGTTAATTGATAGCTGATTACTCGTAATCACAAAATGAACGAAGCTCACTTACATCAGTCACAAATCACAATGTTGACACAAGTATAATCCCACATCTCTCTGATTGTTTTAGTAATCACGATTCAATTATGGCGGCTAGCTTTGATCATTGCATTCTATGGGTTGTGAAAACTTTGTGATGGACACCATCACTCAGGCGTTTGAAATGCGAGAAAAAAAATACTGCGCTAATAGGTCTTTTGTGAACTTTCCGTGAATATTGCACCCTGTGAAAATATATATGATTACAGTACTTCAGGAGTGGCATACTTCAGGATGATTGTCTGATTTTGTCATGTCCTGCCATTTGCCAAATTTGATCATCTCATCTCATTTTTTCTCACAATGAGAAGGGAAACAGTCTCAACTGTTGTTAGTTTGACTGTGTTATAATTATAATTATTGCTATGATTTGACGAGAGGAAGTTTTTGATTTGACTGGTTGTCATTTTCTGATAGGGTCTGACATTTGTGTTGTTCCATTGTTACACTAGCATCAATAGATCATCAGTTATTGAACTAATTAGAATTGTGTTCCAGACTGTGAAGAATGCAACAAGGAGTATGAGGGAGATTGTCCTGTTCATGGACCACTACTAGTCATCTTAGACACTCAGGTTTGTACAGACAGTAAAATCTACAGGATATAATGTAGATAAGCCAGATTTTGAAGGCCTAAATATTAGGGCTGGGACGATTCACCGATGCATCACAACACATTTAAGTGTGATATAGCCATCGTATCGTGGACTGGTGTATCGATGCAAAAAGTTATAACATTTTTCAAAAAAATTAAAACGCAAAACCTTGAAATAAATCATTTTAAATCTTGATACCGTGTTATTCTTTCAAGGTGTATGTATCATGATACGTATCGTATCGTGACATAGTGTATCGTCCCAGCCCTACTAAATATTGAAATAGCATGGATGACATATTTCCAGTGTGCCCTGGCATCACCACTAAATTTATGAACATGACACTCACCCTTGATTCATTTTATGAAAAACGTGATAAATTGATTCAATGTAATGATTCAAAGTATCTTTTTGCTCCCCATCAAACTGTTTATCAGCTCAATCTCATGGCTTAATATGGGCATGGTCATTTGGAATGACAGTGGGCTAAACAGGAAATCCCATCTCAGGGATGATAACAGTTTGTGGGTTAGTTTATTGGACCTGAGGACAAATGAAGCTGATCTATTCTTGCAGTCATGATAATGTTCAGGAAATAAAGCTGTCAATTCTACAGGTTTAAAGTTTGTTTACTGATTTCTTAAACAATAAGTTGAAATGACATAATTGTTGTGATGTTTTAAGTTTAATTGGCTAATCAAAAGTTATGGGCACACTTATTTTCACAATGGCACACCTAAATTATCTGTCTGGTCCAGTATGGCACCCTTTGAAAAAAATGCACATCGATCCCTGAAAGATAATGGTTACACTTTTCATGCCTCAATACAATACAAAAGTGCTCTGTATTGCTGCAGTTGAACAAGCTTGAGAGACAGAGCTACAGATAATGTTTGGGTCATTGAGTTATGTACTCGCTTGTGTTCATCTCAATTGGGTATCCTAATTTTCCTGTCAGAAACCAAATACATTGTAACCACCTCACTCAAAATCATTTGTGTTTTCTGACATTTTCCATTAATTGTGAAAAAAATGATAAAGTTTAAATGTTGGTGTAAATGTTTGTTATTTATATTTGATCTGTAATATGAGGAACGATAAGAAAGAGTGCACGCTGCCAAGTCAGAGCTCGATTTAAGAGATGTTAACCTATTTGCACCAGGTGCAACCTGAGATGAAAAACTAGTTGCACCAGGCAAATTCCAGTTGCACTGCTTTTATTGCAATATTTAATTTAAGAAATATGCTATTGAATTATTTAGATGTTTTATTCAGAGTGTACCCACTCACAAATTGAGTTCCACCTATTGCAAGTTAGACTAATAATTAGGTTGCGCTTTGTAATTTTGAGTTGCACCGGTGCAAGTCACAAAGCACTAAATCGAACCCTGCAAGTTCATGTGCTGAAATAGAACCACCATATAAATCAGTTACTTTATTTATCCTCAGTAACCTCCATCTGTAGCACATGGGTCAGCTTATTCCTAATTCTAGTAGGTTTGCTGAATGTTAAAAACAACTACAACATGATACATTCTGCATTCAGTTTAATACAAACTTGTGTGTATGCATTCAACATTAATCTTATTTAGTATTTACAAAAATTCAAGCATATTTGTACGCAACAGAATTAATAGGAATTGAGTTTTCACATGAATATTTGCATGATTTAGGCAGATACACAGCTTATCTGTACCTCAGAAGAGATACCAAACTGCTCTAAATGAAAATTTAAAACAACTTATTAAGCAATACTATACTGATATATAAACTGCATAACTGTAAACACTATTTTCCGTATGATCGCTTCTGGGTGATGCACATAAGACACGCCACAACAGTGAGTAAACAGTCGCTGAAAATAGTCGTTTTGTTAATATTCAAGGATGTCAGCTTGCACGGAAATATTAGCTAATGGTAACCATGTCATCAGAAAGCCCTAAGCATATATACTGCAGGTCAAATATCTGTGTTTTATGCGGATTTGCGTTTGTTGAAAGATCAGTGTCAGTGACCAGGGAATTTTGTAAGTCCCGTCAAACCCCAAACAGTTGCCGTTGTCTGATTGGTTAAATCCATTTGATTGGGCCGGTCATAGGTTAGCTGAAGCTCAAAGGTTAGACCTTCTACTAGGGTTTGTTAGACTCAGTGTAGCAGTGTAACAAATAATACTGAGCCTAAATTTACTTAAACTGGTACACATGTCAACCATGATCTCTAGATGTGCCTTTTGGGGGTTAGACTAAGATATGAATTTTAGTTTTTGCAGTTTCTATGGAAACGTGACTTGGGCTGTGGCTATGAGGATGTCATCTTGTCCAGAGCAGACCTTCTAGTTTTCAAACTATACATGCTAGCTTCATTAAACTTGGTACACATATCAAGCATGATCCCTAGATGTGCCATTTGATGGTTAGACCCAGATACAAATTTATGTTTTGTGGTTTCCGTGGAAACTTGACTTACGCTTGTGACTATGAGGATGTCACCTTGTTGCTCCATGGCAACAAGTCTATAAGCTTCTAACTGAATTTGGTGGTAGTGTTCCTTTCTGGAGCAGATCTTAAAAACCTTTCAATACTCTCCTTCCACTTTGCTGTATACACTCCAAGACATTTGACATAATCATGACTAGTAGACATATTCATACTATTTTGTCGTTACTGGGGATATTGATGACTTTGTCTCTTGGTGTTTGAGTTGAAAGCCATTGTTATGGAAATGGGAAACCATATCTATTATTTAAAAGATCTCTTTATAATAATTTGCCAATTACGTGAAGATGGAATTATATAAGAAATATGTTAGAGGATATTTCAGTGGAAGAAACGCAACAGTTTTCACTTCTTTCAATGTTTATCTGGACATTATAAATGTGTTAGCTTGCATTTTCATAAAAAATAACTTATTTAAGTTGTAGGTGTTTTATTTGAATAATATGATAAAAATAACTTTCATATTTATGAACATTAGGATTAGACCTTTCAAATGATGCATGACATGGAGTAGCAATACAGTTTTACAAGCTGATATGTTCCCCGATTTACTTTTAACAAGTCAAAGAATCGAGGAGTTGATACTTTTAAAAAATAAAAAAGAAGCATTTTCACCCTGAGTTTCTCTTATTTAATGTGTGGAATATATCCAGGCCAGACATGATCATAGCCAAATGCTTTTATATATTTCTCTTTTACAGAAAATTTACTGAAATAATTATGGCTGTCAGCATGGTCAAAACATTATGTTGTTGTTTCACTGAACATGTTGATAATGATTAATGAATCATCCACTAAATTGTTATTGTCTTTGTAACAAAATATCCGCCATGAATTTCTGACATTGGTGGCATTTGCTCTTCGCCATACTCGTCAATCAAAAGGCGGAAAACTTTGAAGACCTAAATGCACGTGAAAAATATAGCTAATATAAATGCAGGCAGCAATGCGATTGAATATTTAAATGGAATGCGATTGTAACTGACTTATATAATAAAAGAATTGAAGACTTGATTTCAAATGAAAATTTCACTCAATTTACTACCGCCATGCATGTGGACCATACAGAAAAATTATGAAGGGTTCCAGGAGAACAATACAGTGATTTCAGGATCAAGGGGAGACAACTCGAGGGGTACATTAGGTATACCACTATGAATTGCTATGACCAGAGACCATATAATAGAGGGGACGGCCCCTCGAGCCAGTCGCCAAAACCATCAGCTCTACGGCTTGTACTTTCGCGCAGCCTATCTGGAAGCTGGCAAAAACGTGTGTTGACTTCAGTCGTCGATTTCGCTGCGTATTTTCATTGCAAAGGTAAGATTTGATATTTTTTCATGTATTCTCATGCATATACTAAATTTGCAACAGTGCATTAGAGGTGTATTAGGGGTGCTAAAGCATATATTTGTCTTTGTATTTGATGAATACTGTCATGTGTGCTCATTGTTCTGTAGAGAACAATGGCGGAGGTGTAAAATCGGTGAAAGTCCCGATTTTGATTTTCAATAATGGATACTAATTCTCAATACAAATCCTTAGTTACCGAGAGGGTGAAATGAAAGAAAATAAGATAAAGATTGGTATAGGGGCATTTATAAGACTGTGAGCGGTCTCGTGTAATGCGATTTAAATATGATGTTTTCGAAATATTTACTCCACAACACTTGATTTTAAACGCTTTCACAAGAACAGCTTATTACTAGCATGTTTGAAATAAACACGTCAACATTCATTTGCGATTTCCTCTTTTGCGTTGGTACACTTTTTATGGCTGTGGATCGGTTATTTTATTTTTAGATGATTTTTGGCGTAAACCCATATTTGCGCGTTGTATACTGAACATTTCAATTATGTAGCAGGCGACATAACATTCATTTTGTTCGTTAATATAAGCGAATATATATTTAAAACATTCTACAAAAGTCTCATTTACCCTAATCGTTTGAAAAAAGTATGTTTCCATTATTGTTCATTTTGATGATTATATTTGTGGAAAAGGTCCTTATTTATCATGTAACAATTCATGTATTTTTCTGTTATCATTATTCTTCCAACTGAAGTTATAGGTTAGGTTGCTATATATTATTATATTATCATACAGTACTCCAGCAGCCTGACTTTATGCAACAATGAATCAACACTTTATTTATATCATTACACTATTTATATAATAAATTATCATTTGTTTGGCAGATGCACAGGAAAAAAAGAAAGTTTTCATCAGCAGTGACAGTCGCCGAAAGGGCTACTCAAAGAGGGGTCGAGACAACAAGGTGTCAGTTCTTCCTCTCTCTCTCTGACATTCTTATTCATCAGTTCAATCAACTGTTCCTGATGATTGCAGGTAAGTAATAATGGAAGTAGAAATTCACAAATGATGTCTTTGGAAAAAAAATGAGTAACTTTGTGTTGATATTTTGTAGTTATTGGTATTTATTTATTTTATTGGTATTTGTATATCTGGTACCTGCAGAAATA